ATATTGGCAGAGGGATAGCTCAGTGGTTTGAGCATTGGCCTGCTAAATCCAGGGCTGTGAGTTCAATCCTTGAGGGGGCCATTCTGCCTCAGGCTGCTCTCCCAGCCAGCAGCACCGCGAGCAGCCAGGAGACAATGACAGCTAGCAACTGTATTGCACTGTCTGCTGGCGAGCACCCAGGAGATGACAATGGCTAGCAGTTGTACTGCACTGTCTGTTGCCAGCCTACTCCTTGCTCCCCCCTCCATGAAAGCAACGGTCGACAATCGTTTTGCACCTTTTTCCGTGTGGGTGCCATATTGCTGTGAGCATCGTAATCCACCCACCGCTTCCACTGCCACTCTGCTCTCCTGCTCACGCCATACCATGGCAAGCATGGAGCCCGCTCAGATCACCGTGGCAGTTGTGACTGCTCTAAACACCACGCGCGTTATCCAGCAGTACATGCAGAACCGGAACCTGCAAAAGCAGGCGAGGAGGCGACGGCAGCGTGGTGACGAGTGATGAGGACATGGACACAGACTTCTCTCAAAGTACGGGCCCCGGCAATTTGGCCTGGTGGCAGTGGGGCAGGCTCATGCCGTGGAATGCTGATTCTGGGCCCAGGAAACAACCACAGACTGGTGGGACCGCATAGTGTTACAGGTCTGGGACAATTCCCAATGGCTGTGAAACTTTCGCATCCATAAGGGCACTTTCATGGAACTTTGTGACTTGCTTTCCCTGCCCTGAAGCGCCAGAATACCAAGATGAGAGCAGCTCTCACAGTTCACAAGAGAGTGGCGATAGTCCTCTTGAAGCTTGCAGCGCCAGACAGCTACCGGTCAGTCGGGAATCAATTTGGAGTGGGCAAATCTACTGTGCGGGCTGCTGTGATCCAAGTAGCCAACATGATCAATGAGCTGCTGCTATCAAGGGTAGTGACTCTGGGGAATGTGCAGGTCATAGTGGATGGCTTTGCTGCAGTGGGATTCCCGAACTGTGGCAAGGCGATAGACGGAACCCATATCCCTATCTTGGGACCAGAACACCAAGGCAGCCAGTACATAAACCAAAAGGGGTACTTTTCAATGGTGCTGCAAGCACTGGTGGATCACAAGGGACGTTTTACCAACATCAACGTGGGATGGCCGGGAAAGGTTCATGATGCTCGCATCTTCAGGAATTCTGGTCTGTGGGAACGGCTGCAGCAAGGGACTTACTTTCCAGACCAGAAAATAACCGTTGGGGATGTTGAAATGCCTATAGTTATCCTTGAGTACCCAGCCTACCCCTTAATACCATGGCTCATGAAACCCTACACAGGCACCCTGGACAGTAGCAAGGAGCAGTTCAAATATAGGCTGAGCAAGTGCAGAATGGTGGTAGAAGGTGCATTTTGACATTTAAAAGCGCGCTGGCGCAGTTTACTGACTCGGTTTGACCTCAGTGAAACCAATATTCCCATTTTTATTGCTGCTTGCTGTGTGCTCCACAATATCTGTGAGAGTAAGATGTAGACATTTATGGTGGGGTGGGAGGTTGAGGCAAATCATCTGGCTGCTGATTATGCGCAGCCAGACACTAGGGTGATTAGAAGAGTACAGCAGGGTGCGCTGAGCATCAGAGAAGCTTTGAAAACCAGTTTCATGACTGGCCAGGCTACGGTGTGAAAGTTCTGTTTGTTTCTCCTTGATGAAAACCCACCTCCTTGGTTCACTCTACTTCCCTGTAAGCCAGCCACCCTCCCCTCCCCTCTTTGATCACCGCTTGCAGAGGCAATAAAGTCATTGTTGTTTCAAATTCATACATTCTTTATTAATTCGTCACACAAATGGGAGGATAACTGCAGAAAAACCTGAGTGTCTCTGGATTAAGTTTAGAAGTGTGAGCAACAAGAGTGATGTAGTGGTGGGAGTCTGCTATAGACCACCGGACCAGGGGGATGAGGTGGATGAGGCTTTCTTCCGGCAACTCGCAGAAGCTACTAGATTGCACGTCCTGGTTTTCATGGGTGACTTTAATCATCCTGATATCTGCTGGGAGAGCACTACAGCGGTGCACAGACAATCCAGGAAGTTTTTGGAAAATGTAGGGGACAATTTCCTGGTGCAAGTGCTGGAGGAGCCAACTAGGGGGAGAGCTTTTCTTGACCTGCTGCTCACAAACCGGAAAGAATTAGTAGCGGAAGCAAAAGTAGATGGGAATCATAGAATCATAGAATCATAGAATATAAGGGTTGGAAGGGACCCCAGAAGGTCATCTAGTCCAACCCCCTGCTCGAAGCAGGACCAATTCCCAGTTAAATCATCCCAGCCAGGGCTTTGTCAAGCCTGACCTTAAAAACCTCTAAGGAAGGAGATTCTACCACCTCCCTAGGTAACGCATTCCAGTGTTTCACCACCCTCTTAGTGAAAAAGTTTTTCCTAATATCCAATCTAAACCTCCCCCACTGCAGCTTGAGACCATTACTCCTCGTTCTGTCATCTGATACCATTGAGAACAGTCTAGAGCCATCCTCTTTGGAACCCCCTTTCAGGTAGTTGAAAGCAACTATCAAATCCCCCCTCATTCTTCTCTTCTGCAGGCTAAACAATCCCAGCTCCCTCAGCCTCTCCTCATAAGTCATGTGTTCCAGACCCCTAATCATTTTTGTTGCCCTTCGCTGGACTCTCTCCAATTTATCCACATCCTTCTTGAAGTGTGGGGCCCAAAACTGGACACAGTACTCCAGATGAGGCCTCACCAATGTCGAATAGAGGGGAACGATCACGTCCCTCGATCTGCTCGCTATGCCCCTACTTATACATCCCAAAATGCCATTGGCCTTCTTGGCAACAAGGGCACACTGCTGACTCATATCCAGCTTCTCGTCCACTGTCACCCCTAGGTCCTTTTCCGCAGAACTGCTGCCTAGACATTCGGTCCCTAGTCTGTAGCTGTGCATTGGGTTCTTCCGTCCGAAGTGCAGGACCCTGCACTTATCCTTATTGAACCTCATCAGATTTCTTTTGGCCCAATCCTCCAATTTGTCTAGGTCCTTCTGTATCCTATCCCTCCCCTCCAGCGTATCTACCACTCCTCCCAGTTTAGTATCATCCGCAAATTTGCTGAGAGTGCAATCCACACCATCCTCCAGATCATTTATGAAGATATCCAGATCATTTATGAAGATATCCAGATCATTTATGAATCTGGGAGGCAGTGACCATGAGTTGGTCGAGTTCAGGATCCTGACCCAGGAAAGAAAGGTAAGCAGCAGAATACGGACCCTGGACTTCAGGAAAGCAGACTTTGACTCCCTCAGGGAACTGATGGGTAGGATCCCCTGGGGGAATAACATGAGGGGGAAAGGAGTCCAGGAGAGCTGGCTGTATTTCAAAGAATCCCTATTGAGGTTACAGGGACAAACCATCCCAATGTGTCGAAAGAATAGTAAATATGGCAGGCGACCAGCTTGGCTTCACAGTGAAATCCTTGTGGATCTTAAACATAAAAAAGAAGAAGCTTACAAGAAGTGGAAGATTGGACAAATGACCAGGGAAGAGTATAAAAACGTTGCTCGGGCATGTAGGAATGAAATCAGGAGGGCCAAATCGCACCTGGAGTTGTAGCTAGCAAGAGATGTTAAGAGTAACAAGAAGGGTTTCTTCAGGTATGTTGGTAACAAGAAGAAAGTCAAGGAAAGTGTGGGCCCCTTACTGAATGAGGGAGGCAACCTAGTGACAGAGGATGTGGAAAAAGCTAATGTACTCAATGCTTTTTTGCCTCTGTCTTCATGAACAAGGTCAGCTCCCAGACTGCTGCGCTGGGCAACACAGCATGGGGAGGAGGTGGCCAGCCCTCTGTGGAGAAAGAAGTGGTTAGGGACTATTTAGAAAAGCTGAACGTGCACAAGTCCATGGGGCCGGATGCGTTGCATCCGAGAGTGCTAAAGGAGTTGGCGGCTGTGATTGCAGAGCCATTGGCCATTATCTTGGAAAACTCATGGCGATCGGGGGAAGTCCCGGACGACTGGAAAAAGGCTAATGTAGTGCCCATCTTTAAAAAAGGGAAGAAGGAGGATCCTGGGAACTACAGGCCAGTCAGCCTCACCTCAGTCCCCGGAAAAATCATGGAGCAGGTCCTCAAGGAATCAATCCTGAAGCATTTACATGAGAGGAAAGTGATCAGGAACAGTCAGCATGGATTCACCAAGGGAAGGTCATGCCTGACTAATCTAATCGCCTTCTATGATGAGATTACTGGTTCTGTGGATGAAAGGAAGCAGTGGATGTATTGTTTCTTGACTTTAGCAAAGCTTTTGACACAGTCTCCCACAGTATTCTTGTCAGCAAGTTAAAGAAGTATGGGCTGGATGAATGCACTATTTGGTGGGTAGGAAGTTGGCTAGATTGTCGGGCTCAACGGGTAGTGATCAATGGCTCCATGTCTAGATGGCAGCTGGTACCAAGTGGAGTGTCCCAAGGGTTGGTCCTGGGGCCGGTTTTGTTCAATATCTTCATAAATGATCTGGAGGATGGTGTGGATTGCACTCTCAGCAAATTTGCAGATGATACTAAACTAGGAGGAGTGGTAGATACGGTGGCAGGTAGGGATAGGATACAGAGGGACTTAGACAAATTGGAGGATTGGGCCAAAAGAAATCTGATGAGGTTCAACAAGGATAAGTGCAGGGTCCTGCACTTAGGACGGAAGAATCCAATGCACCGCTACAGACTAGGGACCGAATGGCTAGGCAGCAGTTCTGCGGAAAAGGACCTAGGGGTGACAGTGGACGAGAAACTGGATATGAGTCAACAGTGTGCCCTTGTTGCCAAGAAGGCCAATGGCATTTTGGGATGTATAAGTAGGGGCATAGCCAGCAGATCGACGGACGTGATCCTTCCCCTGTATTCAACATTGGTGAGGCCTCATCTGGAGTACTGTGTCCAGTTTTGGGCCCCACACTACAAGAAGGATGTGGAAAAATTGGAGAGAGTCCAGCGGAGGGCAACAAAAATGATGAGGGGACTGGAACACATGACTTATGAGGAGAGGCTGAGGTAACTGCAATTGTTTAGCCTGCAGAAGAGAAGAATGAGGGGGGATTTGATAGCTGCTTTCGACTACCTGACAGATGGTTCCAAAGAGGTTGGTTCTAGACTATTCTCAGTGGTAGAAGACGACAGGACAAGGAGTAATGGTCTCAAGTTGCAGTGGGGGAGGTTTAGGTTGGATATTAGGAAAACCTTTTTCACTAGGAGGGTGGTGAAACAGTGGAATGCGTTACCTAGGGAGGTGGTGGAATCTCCTTCCTTAGAAGTTTTTAAGGACAGGCTTGACAAAGCCCTGGCTGGGATGATTTAATTGGGGATTGGTCCTGCTTTGAGCAGGGGGTTGGACTAGATGACCTCCTGAGGTCCCTTCCAACCCTGATATTCTATGATAACTGCCAAGGTAGCCCGGGAGGGGTAGAGGAGGAGGGAAGCACCAGATGGGGTGGTGGAGGAGGGAAGGTTGGAAGGACAAGGCTACACTGCACTTCAAAACTTGTTGAATGCAGCTTTCTGTTGCTTGGGCAGTCCTCTGGGGTGGAGTGGTTGGGTGCCTGGAGGCTCCCCCACCGCTTTCTTGGGCGTCTGGGTCAGGAGGCTATGGAACTTGGGGAAGGGGGCAGGTTGGTTACACAGGGGCTACAGCGGCGGTCTGTGCTCCTGCTGCCTTTCCTGCAGCTCCACCAGACACTGGAGCATATCAGTTTGATACTCCAGTAGCCTCAACATTGCCTCCTGCCTCCTCTCATCATGCTGACATACCTTCCTCTCGCTCGTTCTTCCTGTCCTCACATTTTTTTTGTGCTTTTCTGGACTCTAACATTGTCTCCCTCCACGCATTGTGCTGGGCTCTTTCAGCGTGGGAGGACTTCCTGAGTTCAGAGAACATTTCATCGCGAGTGCATTTTTTTTGGCTTCTAATCTTTGATAGCCTCTGGCACGGAGATGATACGTGGGGCAATGAAACATTTGCAGCTGCAGGAGGGAAAAAAGGGAGATTAGTCTTTAAAAAGAGACATTTTAGAGAACTATTTAAAACCTTGTCGCTAGCAATATACCAAACAGCTTGACATTTTAAAAAAATGTTAAAATTCATAAATAAAACTTTTAAACTGGAAATCTACATGTAGGAGATTTGATTATATTGAGCAATAAAAAATCATTTCAGAAGTCCAGCAAGAAGAGTAAAAACATAATGGATAAATACTCCCACAGCAAACTAGCCTGCCAATTATATTTTGAACACAAACAGTTCAAAATTCATGAGCAATCCTCCCAAACCACAAATTGATGCCAATCAGTGAAATGAGCATTTACTTGCATGGAAAGCCATGGTGGGCCGTCTGTAAGAATAGTGCCAAAATAAGATTACTAACCAGCGGAGCCAGATTATTCAGACATGCCCACACCACCATCTGCAAAGTCACTGCTTTCAGAGGAGCATTGTTCAGAATGACAGGTTTCAGAGTAACAGCTGTGTTAGTCTGTATTCGCAAAAAGAAAAGGAGTACTTGTGGCACCTTAGAGACTAACCAATTTATTTGAGCATGAGCTTTCGTGAGCTACAGCTCACTTCATCGGATGCATACCGATATTCCACGGTATGCATCCGATGAAGTGAGCTGTAGCTCACAAAAGCTCATGCTCAAATAAATTGGTTAGTCTCTAAGGTGCCACAAGTACTCCTTTTCTTATTGTTCAGAATGTTGTTTCATTCTGTTGGGGGGGGAGGGATAGCTCAGTGGTTTGAGCATCAGCCTGCTAAACCCAGGGCTGTGAGTTCAATCCTTGAGGGGGCCATTTAGGGATCTGGGGCAAAAATTGGGGACTGGTGCTGCTTTGAGCAGGGGGTTGGACTAGATGACCTCCTGGGGTCCCTTCCAACCCTGACATTCTATGAACCAGGCCTTGGAGCTCTTGGATGCCCTGTTTGCATTGGCCATACATTCCTTTTTGACTCAGGCATACTGGGATTTCTTGAAAATATTCCTAACAAGGGTCTTTTTTACGACCTGCAGCCATGGCAGGGTTTTTCCGCCCAGTCCCAGGTGCTGAAATCAACACTAGAGGCTGTGCTCTGAAGAATGTTGCTCCTTCTTCCCAGTCTCCTGCTTTGACTTGTGTTGTGCCTTTCTCCCTGCACACGATGCTCCTTCTCCCTCGTTATGTAACTCCCCCCCACACAAAAAAACAAAAGAACTAACTTTTACCCCTCCTCCAATGCAGGGCATCGCAAAGGCTGTGGGTTGCACTACAGAGCCTGCACAGCAACCCTGACCAGGGGGTGGAGAGGGAATGGTAGCACCAGGTGCCAACAGCAGGGCCAGCCATCCCAAGCAGGAGACCCCTGGGAACAATTCACTTGGGGCTGGTAATGGTCCAGGATGCAGGCACTGGGCTGCTTGGTGTTAGTACTTTTCATTCAAACTTTCTTGAGCCTGAACCACTGTTCCAGCAGCCAGAAGGGGCTGTTCATAAAGCTCCTCGCCTGGCAAGCCATGCCCCGGCCGATTGGCCTAGATATAACCCAAGGTCCGAATGCTGGGCTGTATCCCACCTGGCGCTCCCACTGCCAACTCCTGCCACTAGCTCAGCTCACCTGCACTGGCACGAGCTTGGCCTCCGAAGGAGCGTTCACTGGGGCCCATGACCTCCCTTGCAACCTGGGGAGCCTGGCTGCTGCAGTGGGCGATTTCCCTGGATTTCCCAAACAATGGCACGTTCCCTCCCCCCATGCCTTGCACCACAGGATGGCAAACCACAGCCCAGACACCCATGAGCTAAATCAACCTCCCACCCCCGGCATCATCCCAACTTCACGGCTGGGAGAACCAAAGCACAGAGCAGGAATATACCCTGAGGTCCCCAGGGGGGAATACAACCCCAGGAGCCTGATCCCAGCGTTCGGGGCATCCTCCACAGAGCGCTGGGGGGATGGAGCTGGGAGTGCCTGGGCCTGGCCACGCTGCACCATGGCACAGTGCTGCTGCTTGCCCCAATGACCACAGGTGGCATAGCTGGCAGCAGCCTGGCATCGACCCAGGTAGCATAGCTGGCAGCAGGTTGGCGCTGACCCCAGGTAGCATCCCATTAGGAGCATGGTGCTGATCCCAGCTCTCCTCCTCTTGCCTGCAGTATGCCTCCTGTTCTGGGAACAAGCAAGCAGTGCAGCTGCTGGGAAGGAACAGCTACTTCTCCCTCTTTGCCAACCCCCCGTGTTTGATCAGCCAGCGCCAGCGGCTGGCGTGCCCGGCCCCGGAGATGACCCTGCGCCAGATCAGCCAGCTTATTCGGGTCTTGAGGCAGCTGAGACTGCGAGATGCTAACGAGGCCCAGCTCCCCCACACTCCGAGGTGAGCAGGAAGGGTGGTTGTGGGATGCTGTGGGTCCTGGCAGCAGCAAATTCCCCACCCCTGCACGGCAGGCGAAGGGGCCAATTAATGGCCCCCACTCTGCACCAGCCCAGCCAGGACAGCAGGGAGAGATGTGGTGCCAAGACCTCTGGGGCACAGCATGGGGTGCCATGGACTATGCAGTCGGACTGGATTCTGCTCTGACCCACGGACCCCAGAGGGACAGCTGTGAGCAGGCTTTCCCCGACTGGAGCCAAACCCCACCCAGGCAGGGGCCTGCAGCAGAACAGATGGGTGCCCACAAGAGTGGGGCTCTCCCAGCTGCTCCAGACACTGACCTTGCCCTGGAGTTTTTGTTCAATATCTTCATAAATGATCTCGAGGATGGTGTGGATTACACTCTCAGCAAATTTGCGGATGATACTAAACTGGGAGGAGTGGTAGATATGCTGGAGGGGAGGGATAGGATACAGAAAGACCTAGACAAATTGGAGGATTGGGCCAAAAGAAATCTGATGAGGTTCAATAAGGATAAGTGCAGCGTCCTGCACTTAGGACGGAAGAACCCAATGCACAGCTACAGACTAGGGACCGAATGGCTAGGCAGCAGTTCTGCGGAAAAGGACCTAGGGGTGACAGTGGACGAGAAGCTGGATATGAGTCAGCAGTGTGCCCTTGTTGCCAAGAAGGCCAATGGCATTTTGGGATGTATAAGTAGGGGCATAGCGAGCAGATCGAGGGACGTGATCGTTCCCCTCTATTCGACATTGGTGAGGCCTCATCTGGAGTACTGTGTCCAGTTTTGGGCCCCACACTTCAAGAAGGATGTGGATAAATTGGAGAGAGTCCAGCGAAGGGCAACAAAAATGATTAGGGGTCTGGAACACATGACTTATGAGGAGAGGCTGAGGGAGCTGGGATTGTTTAGCCTGCAGAAGAGAAGAATGAGGGGGGATTTGATAGCTGCTTTCAACTACCTGAAAGGGGGTTCCAAAGAGGATGGCTCTAGACTGTTCTCAATGGTAGCAGATGACAGAACGAGGAGTAATGGTCTCAAGTTGCAGTGGGGGAGGTTTAGATTGGATATTAGGAAAAACTTTTTCACTAAGAGGGTGGTGAAACACTGGAATGCGTTACCTAGGGAGGTGGTAGAATCTCCTTCCTTAGAGGTTTTTAAGGTCAGGCTTGACAAAGCCCTGGCTGGGATGATTTAACTGGGAATTGGTCCTGCTTTGAGCAGGGGGTTGGACTAGATGACCTTCTGGGGTCCCTTCCAACCCTGATATTCTATGATTCTATGGAGCCAGCCCCGCCTGGCAGGATCCTGAGGGCGCTGTGTGCCCTCCTCACCCTGCCTCCTTCCGGTGCGTTTTTGGGCACCTCTTCTAGCCCAGCAAGCGGGCAAAGGGGATTGTGAGAGTGCAGGAGAGAGACCATGGGGGGCAAGCGCGGAGGGGCTGGGTGACTGCAGGCAAACCTCGGGCTCCCCATATTATCGGGGCCAGGAACTGGGGGACAGGCCCAGTAGCAGCAGGCTGGCAGCACAGCGGTCTGCCCCAGAGAGCATGGTGCACATCTGACCCTGCTGTCCTCTCTCCCTCCCAGCAGAAGCCGCTCCGCCAGTGTCTCCACGGGGTCCCAGCAGTCCCAGGGCTGGGCTAACCCCTGCCTGCATTGCTTCCAGAGACGGCACGGCTGCAGCCCACCCTGCGTTAGCTGAGGGGAAGGAGCCAGTTGACAGGACAGCCTGAGCGTCTCTGCACTGGCCTGGAGGAGAGGAACCGCTGCCCCACAGAACCCCTGGCACCCCTATAGCCCCATTTCTCGGGCTGCAGCCTTGCAGTGTTGCCAATCCAGACCAGGGATTGGGGGGATCCATCCTCTAGCTGGCTGCAGTGACCCTCCCCAGGGGCTGGATCAGTTCCAGATGGAGGTGACCCAGCCTCCCAGACACAGAGGTTGGCGTAGCTGTGTCCCCCTCAGGAGCCTGGCAGCAGCAGAGTTGTACATGCCCAGCAGGGGCCCCACTTAGCTACGCACATGGGGCTCTCCAGCTGGCCCAGCCACAGGGTGTGTCCTTCCTTGGGCCAGTCACCTTACTCCCTGGCCGCTCTCTGGCAGAATGGGGTCCCCACAGGCATCCCCCGCCCCCGCTGCTGTGTTGGCTATGGGGGCGGGGCTGAGGCACAGGGAAATCCCTCTGAAAATGGAATTCCCCCGCGATCCCCAAGCTGGGATCCTCCCCCAGGCCGGGGAATGTCCTTGATTTGGCATCACTGGCTGGGCAGACATTGCTTGGTCACCCCCATCACCTGCAGCCTGGGAGCCCCATGCCAGTAGCTTTGTCACCAGAGCACGATTCCCCCAGCGTGGCTGGATTCTAGCCTTGGGTCAGCAGGAGTCCTCCCTCTGGAAGCCATCTCAGCCTCCCTGCGCTGACCCACCACCCTGCCCTGCCTGTGGCTGCTCCACTCAAGGGCTGGGCTCCACTAGTGATTTATAAAACAAGACCCCGAATTCCTGCCATGAGGCAGGGTCCCTTCTCCGAGAGCCTAAGGGCAGCCAGCGCAGAAGGAACGCAGGGCTCCGGGCCTGGGACTCAAAGGGCAAACTGATGCTACTGCTCCCTCCCACCGATTACCCCGGCAAATAAAGAGGACACTGCTATGCTGTGGGCCTGGCCTGTGCTTAGCGCGGAGCAGATGTTTGCCTTGTGGGGGCAGGGGCAGCAGTTAAACTGCATGGATGGGACAGGTGGGAGGCAGAGGAGCTGGTGACCCTGCCTAACCAGTGGTCTAATTACACTGACCTAGCACAGGGAGAGGGGCCAGTTTCCGCCCCTCCCACAGCTCCGCCAGTGCTCCCCTAATGCTGTCCTGCAATCTTGGGCAAGCCACCCAGGCAGAGATTTTCAAAAAAAAAGCCTAAGGGAATTAGGTGCCCTACTCCCTTGGGCTCCTTTGAAAATCTCAGCCTTACTCATACTGTGCCTCAGTTTCCCCACATGTAAACATGGAACAACATTGAGAGACTTGTGAGACTTGTGTGCAAAGGCAAATTCATGAAGATCATAGAGAGCTCTGAGATCACCAGCTCGATGGGACAGAGCCAGGCCACAGGCGGCATGACATAGGAACAGCTGGCAGTTGGATGTGAACAAGCGACCGAGGCGGCTGGGTGGGGAATTCCCTGGTACCCAGCCAACACATGGGGGCAGGAGCGGGAAGGCCAACAGAAGAGTCTTGTAAATACCACCGTCACAGTGAGAGCCCGGTGGTACTAACCCAGTGTCCCTCTCCCCCGCCAGCTGTCCGCCTCTAGCATTGGGACCCTGACCTCACAGAGAAGAGCTGCTATCTAAGCCAAGCTCTGGCAGAGCACAGAGTGAAGCCTGCAGGGAGGCAGGTCCTGCCGGGTGGATGTGGCTCTGGGCTGTGGCACTGGAGCTATTTGAACAGGTGCCAGGGTGCTCACCCCAGCTGTTAATCGAACACTGACCTCCCACATGTGGCACAGGTCCCGCTGCCCCCCACAGGCAGGCACATACCCATTGAGATTCCCCGCAGGAGGAGATGCCAGCACAAGCCACGCTATGAGATGGCAGGAGAAAAGGAGAAGGCCCAAAGGATCAGGAGCCAAATGAAAGTGGACACAGCACCCTGGAGATTCATGTGCACGGGGCTGAAGTGACTGCCAGATGTAGGGTCAGGAAGGGAATTCCTACACCCCCCAACTCCCTGCCACCTTCCTTTGGGGGTTTCTGGGACCACCCCCCAGGATCAGGCAGGTGTAGGATCCCACCCAGACAAGTATAGCTATCCTGGGCTGCTGGCAGGTCACTAGAACAGTGCTATATGGGAGATCACAGTGCTGGGTGACCCCTGAAACTCCAAAGGACTCCAACCCAAGCGGGGGGAAGACTGGCTTTGGCCAGGGCTCCAGCTGGATGCTGGCCATGTTGTTCCTTGACCAGGTAGAGGGGTCACTGCCACATCGCTCTTTGGGGGTGGGGGCGCTCGGAACATTGAAAGCTGCTGCAGGCCCAGCCGCACAGAATAGGAGCCCAATCAAAGAGCACAGCAGGATTCAAAGGGGCTGAGCAGTGATGGGGAGCTGCCCTGGATCCCCTCAATCACTGCTACACCCCAGGGTCCCTTGGAGGGTCCCCTGCAGTGTGCCACACCCTACAGGAGCCCCTCTTCCTCCGCCTCCTAGCCTGAGCCTCTGGACTCCAGCCCTCCTACTTCACACCCCAAGCTCTGCCCTGCGAGTCAGGCCCTGGGCAGAGATGCATTTGCTCTTCAGCCTGGAAAGTATTTGCAATGACCCCAAATAGCCTGTTCCACACACAGCGGGGTTTAATAGTCAGCTGGGACACAGCCCGGGAAGGCCTTGGGCTAGCACAGAGAAGTGAAGATTAAAGCACAGTCCGTTAGGGCCCAGTCAGCACAACACACCAGCCAAGCTGCAGTGGGACTGCAGCTTCAGCTATGTCCCTCTGACCTGGAGGGAGTCCCAGGAGAGAGAGCCAGCTTCCTCCAGAAGTCCTTCGTTCTTGAGCTGGTCTCTGCTCAACCTCCCTGCTGCGGGGGCGGGGGGAAGGGAACCTCTATTGTCTCTTCAGGAATCTGCATAAATACAGCAGGTTCCTGACAGTTCCTTACTGGTCCTATTGGCTGCATCCTAGATAGCAAGGGGTCACCCACCCCTCATATCCTGCGCTGCCCCAAGAGCAGACTCAATACCTTTCCCTCCACTAGGCAGCCATGGGAAACTGAAGCACACAACGGCATCATAAAAATATTACAGCAGATTCCCACTTGATTCCGGGACATATCCAGGTCCAGGGAGAAGGACTGAGTATCTGCTAGGGACTGGACTGGGCCCAAAACTCACCTGCACTCATGGTCCAAGATACACCAAGATCAGAGACCGCGGCTCATGTATTAACCCCCTGGGCCACTCTATGCCCTTCAGAGGGAATGCAATAGTCGTCACCTCCAACAGAAACTAACAAGGTTTATTAGCATTACTGGATGCTGCCGGCCACAGTCCCAGATGACTTTTAACGGGACAGTAATTCCCATGAGTCAGCTTCCCTTCAGTACAGACCCCGCATAGCATGGACCAGCTTACCTGGAAAGAGTCTCCATTTGTCAACCCTGCTTCTGCACCCAGTCCCTGTGAGCAACAGTTACTTGGTGCCTCATGCCCAGGCCAGGGAAAACTGTCCTCTCAAGCCAACACTGCAGCTAACGTTGTAGGAGGATCTTTTATTTCGGAGGCTCGCAGCCTGCTCTCCTGAGTGGGTGTGCGCTGGGCTCTGTTCCCGAGTCTCCCTGCTGTGTGCGCCTGCAGACAGAGACAGCCCAAATGAGAAACAGCCTGTCTGCACAGCACTCTTCAGGAATCTCAGAGCACAGGCAGCTGGCAAGTGTGCCTAGGAAGCATGGGATCTTAACTAGCCAAAGTGAGGAGGGCATTACAAAGTGAAGGGGCAAGTGACAAAACCCCACAGGTAGATATAAAAAAGTGACCTTAACAGAGGACTAGTTGTTGGGGAGGAAGGAGAATGGAAAATTGCAAGGGGGCTCAGGCAATTTCACCAGCATTTGTTTAATCCCGGGCACTGTCTAGGCTGCAGCTTCCATTGTTGCCCAGCAATTCCGCTGGTGGAGCTGTAATGGTACAGAAAAGGGCCCACAAACTGCCTTAATGTAGACAAAACCTAAGTAAGAGCTGTGTGCAGCCTGTATGGACCGCTGACTTCAGACCCTGGACCCTGTTCAGAATACGGACCCTGGACTTCAGAAAAGCAGACTTTGACTCCCTCAGGGAACTGATGGGCAGGATCCCCTGGGAGAATAACATGAGGGGGAAAGGAGTCCAGGAGAGCTGGCTGTATTTTAAAGAATCCTTATTGAGGTTACAGGGACAAACCATCCTGATGTGTCGAAAGAATAGTAAATATGGCAGGCGACCAGATTGGCTTCACAGTGAAATCCTTGCTGATCTTAAACACAAAAAAGAAACTTACAAGAAGTAGAAGATTGGACAAATGACCAGGGATGAGTATAAAAATATTGCTCGGGCATGCAGGAGTGAAATCAGGAAGGCCAAATCACACCTGGAGTTGCAGCTAGCAAGAGATGTTAAGAGTAACAAGAAGGGTTTCTTCAGGTATGTTGGCAACAAGAAGAAAGTCAAGGAAAGTGTGGGCCCCTTACTGAATGAGGGAGGCAACCTAGTGACAGAGGATGTGGAAAAAGCTAATGTACTCAGTGCTTTTTTTGCCTCTGTCTTCACGAACAAGGTCAGCTCCCAGACTACTGCACTGGGCAGCACAGCATGGGGAGGAGGTGACCAGCCCTCTGTGAAGAAAGAAGTGGTTTGGGACTATTTAGAAAAGCTGGACGAGCACAAGTCCCTGGGGCCGGATGCGTTGCATCCGAGAGAGCTAAAGGAGTTGGTGGATGTGACTGCAGAGCCATTGGCCATTATCTTGGAAAACTTATGGCGATCGGGGGAAGTCCCGGACGACTAGAAAAAGGCTAATGTAGTTCCCATCTTTAAAAAAGGGAAGAAGGAGAATCCTGGGAACTACGGGCCAGTCAGCCTCACCTCAGTCCCTGGAAAAAACATGGAGCAGGTTCTCAAGGAATCAATTTTGAAGCACTTAGAGGAGAGGAAAGTGATCAGGAACAGTCAGCATGGATTCACCAAGGGCAAGTCATGCCTGACTAATCTAATTGCCTTCTATGATGAGATAACTGGCTCTGTGGATGAGGGGAAAGCGGTGGATGTGTTGTTCCTTGACTTTAGCACAGCTTTTGACATGGTCTCCCACACTATTCTTGCCAACAAGTTCAAGAAGTATGGGCTGGACGAATTGACAATAAGGTGGATAGAAAGTTGGCTAGATTGTCGGGCTCAACGGGTAGCGATCAATGGCTCCATGTCTTGTTGGCAGCTGGTATCAAGTGGAGTGCACCAAGGGTCAGTCCTTGGGCCAGTTTTGTTCAATATCTTCATAAATGATCTGGAGGATGGTGTGGCTTGCACCCTCAGCAAGTTTGCAGATGACACTAAAGTGGGAGGAGAGGTAGATATGCTGGAGGGTAGGGATAGGATACAGAGGGCCCTAGACAAATTAGGCTCATATCCAGTGTGCCCTTGTTGCCAAGAAGGCCAAAGGCATTTTGGGATGTATATGTGTATGTATTTGTGTATATGTGTATGTATATGTGTTTGGGATGTATATGTATTTGATGATTTAACTGGGATTTGGTCCTGCTTCGAGCAGGGGGTTGGACTAGATGACCTTCTGGGGTCCCTTCCAACCCTTATATTCTATGATTCTATGATTCTATGTAGGGACATTGCCAGCAGATCGACGGACGTGATCCTTCCCCTGTATTCAACATTGGTGAGGCCTCATCTGGAGTACTGTGTCCAGTTTTGGGCCCTACACTACAAGAAGGATGTGGAAAAATTGGAAAGAGTCCAGCGGAGGGCAACAAAAATGATTAGGGGACTGGAACACATGACTTATGAGTAGAGGTTGAGGGAACTGGGATTGTTTAGTCTGTGGAAGAGAAGAACGAGAGGGGATTTGATAGCTGCTTTCAATTACCTGAAAGGGGGTTCCAAAGAGGATGGCTCTAGACTGTTCTCAGTGGTAGCTGATGACAGAACAAGGAGTAATGGTCTCAAGTTGCAGTGGGGGAGGTTTAGGTTGGATATTAGGAAAACCTTTTTCACTAGGAGGGCGGTGAAACACTGGAATGCGTTACCTAGGGAGGTGGTGGAATCTCCTTCCTTAGATATTTTTAAGGTCAGGCTTGACAAAGCCCTGACTGGGATGATTTAGTTGGGGATTGGTCCTGCTTTGAGCAGGGGGTTGGACTACGTGACCTTCTGAGGTCCCTTCTAACCCTGATATTCTATGATTGTATGTACGTTTGAGCCCCACAATCCAGATAGCTCTATTCCAATCACCTAATCTAGCGGCTCCCATGCTAGGTCCCTTGTACCCAGTTTCTTCTCTGTGCTAACGCAAATAGTCTCGCTTCCCCATAGACACCAACAGAAAAAACTCTGAGCAGCTGGGACTAGCCTCTCAAGGACATAGGAACCCCAAAGACCCATAGTAACCAGTCCCCCTGGTGCCCGCAGGATCTTTCTGCCTTCACTGTCAGCCTCCTAGCCCCCCCGCATCATCACCACTTGCTGCTCCTGTCGTATCTCAGACAGCTCTGCAGGTCAGGGATCTGCTCCAGTCAGGGCCATTTATGGCACGAGATTAGGAACAAGCAGTGCAGTCTTCCCCCGTAGCTGCCTCGAGCACCTTGAGTGCTGAATATGCTGTACAACACTGAGCTCTTCCCAGCTCCACAGGGGGAGAAAGCTCCTCAGAGCCAACTCCCCAAGCCAAATCAAGAGCATCCAATTGAAGGCCAGAAGGGCGGCCAGCATCCCACACATGACCTGCTAGGAACAGTCCTTTGGCACAACAAGCCAGGTGGATATAGACTGATGATTTTCTGATTTATGAGGGTTTTTTGATGTTATTTAAGTAAGAGTTTTTCTTTTTAAAAATAAACCTGTTTCAAATGAAACCAGAATTTAAGACAAAACATGTTAAAGCCTAAACTTATTACAACCCCGGAAAATATTTAAATAAAAAATAAATATGCTGAATCCATGAGCCTCTCTCAAAAATGCAGGAGTTAAAGGTTGCTTTTCTGAATAAAGAACAAACCAGGGGTGGAGGGAGGAGAGATATGATAGAACTATTGAGGCCTAGTTTTATAAATATGGCACAACAGTCAGAAAGTCACAAGACCGTCTCCTTTACAAGAGACTTGACGAGACTAGGAATTTAAGCTCCAGTCACACTTAAGCATATTTGAAAGTTATCTCAGGCTGACCTGAAATAATCCAAGAGCCAAGGTAGGTGAGGGATCATCTTTTATTGGACCAACCTGAGCTTCATGTAGCTTGAAAGCATGTACCTTCCACCAAGACAAATTGGACCAATAAAAGATACGGTCTCACTTAACTTCTCTCTCTGATATCCTGTGACCAACATGGCTACAACACTGCAAACAACTGAAATCAGTTTAATTCACTGACTTCAGTTAATCCGTCTGTTTCATCAATCATTCAGGAGTAAACGTGAACCAAGTTTTCAGAAGAGAGCTTTATGTACCCAAGACATGTAAAGGCTGTTTTGGTTAATAAATGCTGTATCCTGGTTTGTGGGTTTCGTTAAATTCCAGTTGCCATCCTACTTCACCGTGACACAAACTGTGACCAAACAGCTGATTACCTAGTAAATAAGCAATATCTCATTCACCATTTTCTAATGTGCTAAAGATGTGTAAGGATCAGGCCTTTGTCTGCAGCCATATTGTAAGGCCTAAAGCCTTCGTCTGCAGCCAGATTAAAAGAGCCGCCGAGCAGCAGCCATTAGCTGAGAAGCAGGAAGTCACATCCTCACATTCCATCTACATTACATTAAAGCAATGTCAGATCCGCTGTAAAGAAGGAGACCCTATCCTAACGGCCCCCACTATCACCAGATAAAGAAACAGATCTTAAGAAGGTTAAAGAAAACTTAGTTTGACAGCATCTTGTCTGTCAGGAAATCATTTATCAATAGTTGTAGTTGTGAAATCCTCATTTCTTTATTGGTTTGTCATTATGGTTCCCACTTCCCTATTGTTTATCTGTATGGTCTCTGTCTGGTTTGTTAATTGTTTCTGTCTGTTACATAATTAATTTTGCTACGTGTAAATTAAGGTGGTGGGACAGGATTGGTTAGAGAATTTTGTTACACTATATTAGGATTGGTTAGTAAAATTTTAGTATAATGATTGGTTAAGGTACAGCTAAAAAGGACTCAAATGTCACTATATAAACTGGAGTCCAAAAGGAAGTTCTTTGGGAACCAACTCTAGGACACAGCCCCAAAGATCAGAGCTGCCAGACCTCAACACCGCTCCAATGCAGAAACTGGAGTCCCCCAGATGAACCTGATCCTGACTCGCCATCAAGAAAAGTTCATCTGTCTTACTGGGAGTGGTGAGCACTATATGTGTAGAGTGTGCAGTCTATGTTTGGTGATTGTTAATAAACAGAGATTATGTAGTATATTACTGTGTAAGGCTCTTTCACTGGTAAAAGACCCCATAAACCCGCAAAAGATTAAGCCCTGAGTCCACAGGGAAAGCGTGTTTGCTCTGAGTCCATGGAGGAGTAGAGCCCAAAGCCCACAGAGGGGTAAAGTTAGATGCCTAAATTAAGAGGTTTATGCCTTGAGCCCTAGGAACTGGGTAAAGGTGGGTGCCCTTGAGCGTGTGAGTAACAGAATTTTGTGTGGGTAACAGATGTACAATAAGAATGTGAAAATATTAATCTAGATCATTGCTTAAATAAACGTGAGCCCTCCAAGGTAGCAAAGATGTACCAAAGCCACTGCAAAGCTCTATTTAATTGTAAAATCCAGACATAATGATTATGTCAACCAATGAGAAAGCACCACTCTTCAGAAAATAACTGAAGTACAAATGGAAAAACTGATTAACATCAGTGATTTAAATGGCCTTGATTTCAAATCAATCCACCAGGCAACACAAGCTATAGGCCCAGATCCAATTCAGCTGCTCTTCTCCAGAGTACAAAGGGCTCCATGGCACAGGCAAGGCTCAGGCTCCAGTCACGAGAGTTCATGAAAGATGCAGGAGGTGGGTACGTAGCTGCATGCTCCTGTGAGATAGTTACAGGGCAGGCCAGTAACCGGAGAGTGCCAGCATAGCTCCAGTTACAGATCTTTGTGAAGATATCACAGAACAGCCTGAGCCATGGCCGCGTGGCTCAGCCCTGCTCCTCCACCTGAGCCGCTGTGATGGGGCTTAATTTTGGTCACATCTATTGTGGGGTGAAACTTCATCAAGTGCCCCAATCACTGAGGTGCTGACAGCTGCCAGAATTGACGACACAGGCCTGTTGCTTGGGTGACGATCAGCCACCTCTCCAATGAAGGGGAAATGTATCCTCCATCTACCACACCCAGGGAGGGGACTAAGAGAAGGGGAGTGCGATCTAGTGGGCATAGACTTCTGCCCATTTGCCCCAAACTTGACCCCTTCTGTCCCATCCCCTCCAACCCGTCCGTGTCCTTGTCCTGTATTCTGCTGGAGGCAGACACACAGCATGGAAAATTCCAGTCCAAATTATAGTTTGGCAAAGTTATAAGCACCTGAGATGGGTCTTCTCCTGGAAAGTGTCACACCACTGTAATAGGTAAGGCTACCAGTTTTGCCTGTAACAAACAGTCTGGAGAAGGTAGTTCAGGAACATCTGTTCTCCCGGTCTCATACAACAAGGCCCAGGGGACAGTGGATGAAATTAAAAGGCGGCAAAATTCAGAATGGAGAAAAGGAAATATTATTTCATGCAAGCACATGTAGTTGGATGGTGAAACTGAATTGTAAGCATGAAATTAGCAAGATTCCAAAAGGGAGTGGCTATGTATAGGGATAACAAGACAAGTCAGAGTGATCATAAAAAGGAGTACTTGTGGCACCTTAGAGACTAACCAATTTATTTGAGCATAAGCTTTCATGATGCATCCGATGAAGTGAGCTGTAGCTCACGAAAGCTTATGCTCAAATAAATTGGTTAGTCTCTAAGGTGCCACACGTCCTCCTTTTCTTTTTGCGAATACAGACTAACACGGCTGTTACTCTGAAACCTGAGAGTGATCATACTTAATGCTAACAAACGTGGGAAGGGATGTTAAGCTTCAGGGCTTAATCCAACCTCCCTAGATAGAGCAGGATGAGACCTAATGCAGGGGCAGATTATCCCACATCTGATACTGCCAGGTTCTTACACCTTCCCCTGAAGCACCAGCCTCTCTTGGAGACAGGACATTGCACTAGATGTCTGGCCCTTAGGAACTGCCAGACTGGATCAGAGCCATGTTCCGCCTACAGCTGCACTAGCTCCGCAGGGCTAAAACAGATGGGGCTAGTGAAGTGATGAGACCTCACACCAGGACATGCCCCATGGGGCCAGGTGTGTGGACCCTCTGTATTGGGAATGCACAAGGAGGAACAGAGTACCTCTCCCCACACAGGCTCAGCGAGGCTAGCCAGAGTCAGCACCACCAGCCTGGGTGAAGACACTGGCAGGGCAGTAGAAGTGGGACAATACCAGAATTACTTTTTGGCACGCAGCCTGAAGACAGACACACACAGCGGGCTGAGTCTGCCTTTGCCTGAGTGGAAGGGCTCTGTCAGCGCCCCTTCCCTCTCCACAGATATGGCAGGGATCTCTTTTGGTCCCCAAGCTCCTCTAGGATTTCACTGCAGCCTCCAAAACAATTGGAGGGGCACAGCCAGTGGCCTCTCTCTGAGCTGTGGCTATCTGAGCCGCCATTCTCAATTACAGCAGCATGTTGATGACTACCACACAGACAGATGACAGCAGCATTTGATGGCTGGGGATGAACTGGGCTGGCTCTCCCTTCTATCTGGGTATACAGCCCCTGTGCTCTCAGCTGGCTAGGCAGCAGTGGCCCCAAAGAACCAGCACTGTCACATTGCTGGAACATTTCCCGAGAGATCCCAAGCATGCCCTACAAGGGGAGGTTAGAAGCACCTCACTGATCCCGTCACACCAAGACTGGGTGGCTCAGCACGAGGCCAGGGGATGCAGACATCAGTGAATCACAGAATATCAGGGTTGGTAGGGACCTCAGGAGGTCATCTAGTCCAACCCCCAACTAAATCATCCCAGCCAGGGCTTTGTCAAGCCTGACCTTAAAAACTTCTAAGGAAGGAGATTCCACCACCTCCCTAGGTAACGCATTCCAGTGTTTCACCACCCTCCTAGTGAAAAACTTTTTCCTAATATCCAAGCTAAACCTCCCCCACTGCAACTTGAGACCATTACTCCTTGTCCTGTCCTCTTCTACCACTGAGAACAGTCTAGAGCCATCCTCTTTGGAACCCCCTTTCAGGTAGTTGAAAGCAGCTATCAAATCCCCTCTCATTCTTCTCTTCCGCAGACTAAACAATCCCAGTTCCCTCAGTCTCTCCTCATAAGTCATGTGTTCCAGTCCCCTCATCATTTTTGTTGCCCTCTGCTGGACTCTTTCCAATTTTTCCACATCCCTCTTGTAGTGTGGGGCCCAAACTGGACACGGTACTCCAGATGAGGCCTCACCAATGTCGAATAGAGGGGGATGATCACGTCCCTCGATCTGCTGGCAATGCCCCTACTTATACATCCCAAAATGCCATTGGCCTTCTTGGCAACAAGGGCACACTGTTGACTCATATCCAGCTTCTTGTCCACTGTAACCCCTAGGTCCTTTTCTGTAGAACTGCTGCCGAGCCATTCGGTCCCTAGTCTGTAGCAGTGCATGGGATTCTTCCGTCCTAAGTGCAGGACTCTGCACTTGTCCTTGTTGAACCTCATCAGATTTCTTTTGGCCCAATCCTCTAATTTGTCTAGGGCCCTCTGTATCCTATCCCTACCCTCCAGCGTATCTACCTCTCCTCCCACTTCAGTGTCCTCTGCAAACTTGTTGAGGGTGCAATCCATAAATGATCTGGAGGAGGGTGTGAAGATATTGAACAAAACCAGCCCCAGGACTGACCCTTGGGGCACTCCACTTGATACCGGCTGCCAACTAGACATGGAGCCATTGATCAATACCTGTTGAGCCCGACAATCTAGCCAGCTGGACAGTGGCCAGGCCAGGGAGCCGCAGGTGCTGAGACAGCCAGCTCTCCTCTAGGAGCCTTAATGCCACAACCTGAGTGCCCTGGTGATGCCACGAAGCAGAAGTGGCAAACCCCAGCCAGGGTACAATCCTGCCCTGGGCTCCCTGGGTGCAAAGTGCTGCCTTCTCAGAGTGTTGTTCCCACCAGCTACCACACAGCTGCTGTTAGCAAGCTTCCTGCATTTCCTTAGCAGACCTCTGGTCCTTCGCCCTGCCTTGATACATGCCTGAGTGAGAGTTAAGCAGAAAATTATCTCCTGCCTCCAGAACTCCCTGACAAGCTGGTCTCCCGCAGGGATGGACGTGCTCCAGCTGAGCCCAAGGAAAGCCTAGCCAGCAAGTCACTGACCCATACTGTGACTGGCATGAAAGAACTTGCTGCATGGCCACCAGCTGGTGCGTCCTGTGCTCTGCATGGATGGAGCTATGTTTGAAAACACAGACAAACCTGAACAGACCAGCCTTGACCCCCTGTAGACAAGCCTGAACTGGGTGGTCAATGTATGGTGACGTGTTTGAAGCAACCTTTACTGGAGGGCAGGGAGAGCCTGGCCTTAGGCATGGCGCCAGACCCCCGAGCCTGCCAATTGGGGTCACAGTTTAGTAGGGCACCATTTGGGAGCGGGGAGTGTCTCAAACACAGCTCCATCTACAGCATCTTCAGGTAGCTGGGCCTGCTCAAAGGACACCTCTAAGTGAAGAAGAGGGGCGGAGTGCTCACCAATAGCCACCAGGCAGATGGGCCCGAGTGGATGATCTCCATGAGGAAGCCCTGCTGAGGAGCAGTTTGCCCTCTGAATAGCAGCAGGAGGCTTCTAAACCATCATCCACCAGACTGTAAGATGTTGTTCCAGGGCCCCGCAAGCGGGCGTTCTTCCCCCTTTTCCACACACACACTTAACCCTGAAGGAGTCACAAGCCCTGGTATCACAAGATCAATGACATGCAAAGGGTTTGCTTCCGACACCAGCAGTAGCTTCAACAGTCCTTTAGATATGGCCGAGCCCTAGTGGGCCCAGGTGTTCCGCTACAGATAGAATCTCGCTGTGGCAGCAGCAGAATTCCAGCCACTGCTGCGACGCTGTTTATTGAGGGCTAATGCGAAGGCAGGTGCCTGGAGCTGGCAGCCCAGAGAATGGCTGGGAAGTAGCATAGAGGACAAGGCAGCATGCACAGAGCACTGTACCCAAGTGGAGAAGGCTCTAGGCCTGAGCTGCAGCCTTTGTTCTGGGTAAAGGTGGGAGGGGAGTGCTGCGATGTCCCATGCCCTGGGATCAAAGCCATTGGCTGTTCACTGTTTGTGCAATGCGGTTAGCTCCGCATTACTGCGTGAGCGAGGATGGCACAGCCTTCCCTGGGGAGGGAGAAGGAGCATGCTTAGCTTTCTAGGGAAGCTGCTTCTGTAGCATGGAAATTACACTGATGGGCCATCAGACCCAAGGCTCAGTCCTTTCAAGGCAGACAGCATCTCACCTGAGCTGTTCCACTGGGGGGCTGTCTGGTTTCTTCACGCTGCTGGAGAGAACACCATGCATTCTGGCTTGGTGGCACTGCAAGTGATGCTTGTGGCGGAAGGCATAGCCACAGGAATGGCATTCAAACTGCCCTGGAGTGACGTGGGCTTGAAGATGCGCTCTCAGCAGCACCTTGCTCTGCAGGCAAAAGGCAGATGTGATGCGCTAGGACAAAAGCAGCTGCAGCAGCCATCGCTTCTCAGCTCCCGAGTAAAGAGGAGCCATATCCTCACTCCGAATGGCAGGGGCAGGGTGCCAGCACCTGGGCTGATCAATAGGGGATGGACATTCCCTTCAAACTGAAGAGACCCAGGGGTCTCCTTGTGCAGGAAAAGGTGATGGATTTGGAGCCTTTCACCTCTAGGTGGCTAGTGTGAATCCAGCCTAGATAAGCCACCATGGTCCTCTGTTAGCAGCTGGTGGCTCTTGTGAATTGAGTGCTGGGCCCACACCACCCAAACCAGCACCCAACAGGCCACTTTGTGGGCAGCCCAGATAAAGAGGCCTAGGACCAAAGGAGCTGAACTTCCATCTGTCCACGAAAGGCAGTAACTCTACATCAGAGCTGGAGCACGGTGGCAGGGGGCAGAGCAATCCTGGGGAGGCTGGCACTGCTATGGGCCATGCCATCCCTGCTCTGTAGGCAGAGGGCTTCAGTCTCCAGAGATGCTAGGAGGTGAGACCCCAAATATCCCATCCAGTGAAGTGAGCTATAGCTCACGAAAGCTTATGCTCAAATAAATTGGTTAGTCTCTAAGGTGCCACAAGTACTCCTTTTCTTTTTGCAAATATCCCAAGGTAATTCACGAGAAAGGGGCTCTTTCCTTGCCACTAGCTGGACTGGGAGCTGCTGGCTGTGTCAGGCTGCATTTGTCTAGTTACTAGCCTGCACCGCCAAAGACCCAGAATTTGGCTTGCACTTCCCAGGTTGTCCGAGGCTCTGAATGTGAGGCAGCTGGGATGCAGCCAGCACTCAGTCTGCCAGGGAGTCCCTTACCTCTGCTGCCCTCTCTCTTCACCAGAGAAGGAGGGGATTAGTATGGTCCCAGCTAGAGTGAAAACCACCCTAACTACAAAATACCCTCAAACTCATTCAACAACTGCTCCTTCCAGGGATACAAGCGTTTACCCAACACATACTAGCTGGAGGTGGCAGAGAGGAGGGCTGGGTTATGTGCTGGGGAGAAGCCCAGACCCCCCCACCCCCAAACCCATAGTTGCAGGAAAGGCAGCAGGAGCTAGAATTTCTAGCAGGGTGCTGGACCCTCTAACATCCATATCCACCAAACCAGAATCTCTCCCTCCGTCATCAGCTGCTGGGAAAAGGATGGAGCTTCCTGCTTCTTCTACCCCAGTCCTGAGCCTCTTGGCTGCCACTGGGGTGGGGGGGGGGGGGGGAGTTCGAAGCCCTGCCTGTTTGAGCTGCAGCGTGCCTGTCTCTCTCTCTCAGAAGCCATGTCATTGGGATCAGGAGAAGTGAGTGTGTTGGATCATACTAAAGAAGTTCTGTATTAAAATCACAAATGAGTTTGATTCCCCATAGTTTAAATTCCAGGGTATTACTAATTAAGAGGTCTCTTGGTTTTTGGTCTCTTGTTTTTACTGTTTCTCTCTCTCTCTCTCTCTGTGTGAAACTTGCAAGCTGCTAATTGTGTTAGTACATCCTAAGACAGAGTCTGTTCTCAAAGCAATACTTTGTAACAACAGAAACAGTACACAGAGACTCCCCACTCCCTGTTTTGTTGTATTCGATCTCGCTGTATTCACAATTGTGATTAAAACAGAGATAGAGGACGTATGTGACGGATGCTTGGTATGGATAATAAGTGAATGATCAGGGAGGTGCCAGCCTAAGAATCCAGTGTTGATCGGCCGAAGAAGGCGTCAAGTGGAAACAACCAGAGGACCCCTGGAGGGGAGACTGGAATCCACCCAACAGCCTCAAGGACGGGAGAACCGAAGAACAAGATAACATCTGTCAGCACGGAGCCGTCAGGAATGTGCCATCTGCTGATTGATTCAGCAACAGCATGATGAAGCAATTCCCATAGCCTGGCATAGGAATAGAGCTTCCCTGCTGTTCCCCAAATGGCTGCAGGGGCTCCAGGGGAGCAGCATAACGCCCCCCACCGGCACCAGGTGGGGATCTGCGCCCTTACCTTAAACCTCCAGCCACAGTGTGGGAAGCTGCAGCCATCGGGCCGCTCTGCATCGTGCACCCTCATGTGTTTGTGGAGCGGTGCCGGTAGGCAGAGTGGCAGACGCCGCAGGTCACTGTCCCCTGGCGGTGCTCCTGCCGGTGCAGCCATGCCACCGCGCTGACCGCCGACTGGAAGCTGCGCTGATGGCGCTGGTGCAGTCGCCGAGGGGAGGCTGTCCGCTGTGTGCCATAGAAAGGGTGGCAGCCGGCTTGGTGGGTGCTGGAGTGAAGCTGGAGTATGCGCTTTCTAGTAAAGCCCTTCTTGCAAACTGGGCAAACAAACTTCTTCCCATGGGGTCTTTCCAGAGGCCTCTCAGCTTGGTGCTTCTGGGAGCCACTTCTGCACTTCACGGACTTCACGTATGCCTTGTGGTCAGCCACACTCATGACTCTCCATCCCCTGCAATGCCAGCTGGGGCAGCGGCAGGCATTTGGTGCCAGGGTGCACAGCACGCACGTGGCCAACGAGCTCCTCCTTGGAGTAATACTTCCGGGCACAGTGCAAGCACTTTAAGACCATCCGGCCATAATCAAACGCTCTCCCCTTGACAGTCTCTGAGGTCAGGATGAAATGCACGTCTGTGCCCGGCTCAGTGTCTGGGATCTCTGGGCCTAGTGCCATGTCAGGGCCAGCAGGTGAGGCTGGGCTGGCAGCGGTGCCGTCCCAGGTGCTGGGGTCCCACCTCTGCAGCTGGTGAAGGGTTCGATAGTGGTAGAGCAGGATGGTGTGGGAGAAGGCTCTCGCACACAGCTTGCAGCTGTATACACTGCCACCCTGCACATCTGGGGGAGAGGAGAGAGTCAGACACGCTAAAGGGGAAGTGCTAACCAGGCTCATGGGGGTGTCTGAATAGAGGGTTTCACAGTCCCAGGGCAGCCAACACTTCAGCAGGGGTTCTCCAACCTATGGCTAACCTACGCGTGCAGGAAAGGCCATTCTGGCTCCAGGGGATCGATCATGCAGAGGTTCCCAGGCCGGGCTGGTTATGAAGCAGCTACTTGGATGATGCAGCAGAGGTGGCAGCCCAGCGAGGACTCAGCTGGTGTCACGAGAACACACAGCCCAAGGAGAGTCCAGGAAAGGTTGAAAATGGAGGGTTATGGGCAATGTTCCTTCTGTGCTTCTCCTGCTTGAGCCAGGCACTGCACCAGCTGTTCATAGCAGCCAAGTGCTACCATCTAACCTGCCCTCGTTAGCCTTTGCAGTCAAGGTAATGAACTATTTCCCTCTGGACCAACTTAAGAGTCAGGCACTTTCCAGAGGAGAGGGGTGTGCAGGAACCCAGGGGGTTTGGTTCTCTAGTCTCCTGAACTAATGCCCCCTGACTGTGCAGCAGGCCCCCCCTTAGCAGCAGAGCCCAGTGTTCATTACTAGCAATGAAGCATGAGAAGGAAAAAGCCTAGCATGACTCTCAGCTCTGGGACTGAGCATGCAGGGCTGGTACAGTGCAGGTGCTCTGGAGTCAGTGAACAAGGCCTGCCCTACGCTAGAGTTAGGATGATGCAAGGCAGCTTATGTCGACATAACTCTGTAAGCATCTACACTGAAATTTCATTCCCAGTGATGTAACTCACCCACTATGCTGACTTAACAACTCCACCTCCACTAGGGCTGTAGAGTCAGTGTTGATGTGCTAGGCCAATACAGTACCAGTGCAGACATTGCGTTGCTCACATTGACTGTTGCTGGCTTTCAGAAGCTGTCCCACATACCTCACACTGGCAGTACAATTGGTACAAGTGCACCTGGTGGGGACGCGCACCGCTGACACCAGCAGCAAAGCGGAGACACGCACAAGCCATGTAATTACTGTGGCGGCTCTATGTCAATGTAAGTTAGGTCAACTCAATTCATAGTGTAGATGTTGCCTGACTTACGGTGGGTCTTGTGTAGAGTGAAGGGCTTTATCTTGGAGAACTGGCGCAGACATGTCCCGCATACCAAGATATCATGCTCCAAGCTCCTACCGAGGCCCAGGCCTGCACATGAGAGGAGGCAAAGCTGAAGGACTCTTACATCTGGGCAGGGAAAGGGCTAGAGAGAGCCTGCTCTTGCAATAGCCATGTTACTTGGAGGAGACTACCAGACACGGATGGGTAACAGAGGCTTCCCTGACTCCACCCCATGGCTGGGAGGAGCCGCTAGTGGGTGCCTAAGCCGTACTGCCCTCCACTGTCCCAAGAGCCAACAGGACTGGAAAATAAAAGTCCCAGGCTTTTCCCCCTGTTCTGCAACTGACTTCTTTATGCAGGAAAAGTTACCAATACCAGTTACGGGTCCCCTCAGCCAGAAAATGTATTCTCGCTGGCTCCTTGGTCTCGCCTGTGCTCTCCAATACTCTCCCTGCAGCAAGAAGGAAGAAGCCACCTGACTGGAACACAGAGTCAGGATCCGAGCCCTGAGGTGGGGGAGGAACTGGGACAAGAAGCCCATGGGGAGTCCGGGATGACAAGGATAAGCTAGAGGAGCCAGGGCAGACAGGGTCAGAGCTTTTTGGGGATCAGCACAGAAGGGTCTGTGGCCCCCAGAATGTGGATTAAAACCCAGAACTCCTGAGTCTCAGCATTGCTGTACTGTCAGCTGAACGAAGCAGGGTTCCTAGGGAAAAGCTAACACATGATCATGTAATTAAAGACTGTGTAATAACCCATGTTACTCCTCACACAAGGAGGCTGAACTGAGTTTGCACAGGCAACCTGAATACTGGCACATCCAAATTTTTAAGTGTTTGACTCTGCAACCTTAACGTTCTCTTAACATAGGGTTGTTTTCCCCGGGAGGGGGGGGGGGATTAAATGTATTCTGTTTACAGTAACAGTGCTCTTTCAGCAACAGAATATCACTGCATGGAAGAGAGGACCTCACGGATGAATATTACTCGGGGTGCTAGCTCATTGCAATACTGGCATTCCATACCTCAAGTGTACAGAACTCAGCCAGGCAACTGCCTCTGCTGCTGGGCTGGGTATTGGGATGTGCCGCAACTTACCACCCTGCTGAGCCTGCTTGGACATCACCAATTACCCTTCTTCAGCCAAACCCTGGTGCTGCTGCTCACCAAAGCCTACAGTGTAAAAAGCACAAAATGATGCCCAACTTTAAAGGCATATATCAGCATAGGAGACAGTTTGATAAACAGGACTCATGGAGGTAAACAACAGCACCAGCAAAGTACAGGGTAGACACTGTGCATGTGTCCCCCACATAGCTGGACTAATACACTGCAATTCTCTTCCTGGGTCCCCACCCACAGCTATACTAAGTGCACCTCAGGTCTGATCTACAGCAAACCTCCATCAAAAAAATGGATCCCCCCCTTCCACTGCCATTCAAGTCTGGAGAAAAATAAATAATTCACATTTCCTTTTTAAAAAGTCAACTTTGCATCAAGCAAGGCTAAGACCACAATAAAGAAAGTCACACTCATGCTTCAGGGGGGCAGACGGTTGCCCACAGGTGCTGGGAAGCAATTCCACCCAACGTACACAATTGCACAGCTAGCCAGTATGGGTTCCTTTCATCCTTCCCTTGAAGTTTACAAGAAGTGGAAGATAGGACAAATGACCAGGGAAAAGTATAAAAATATTGCTTGGGCATGCAGGAGTGAAATCTGGAAGGCCAAATCACACCTGGAGTTGCAGCTAGCAAGAGATGTTAAGAGTAACAAGAAGGGTTTCTTCAGATATGTTAGCAACAAGAAGAAAGTCATGGAAAGCGTAGGCCCCTTACTTAATGAGGGAGGCAACCTAGTGACAGAGGATGTGGAAAAAGCTAATGTACACAATGCTTTTTTTGCCTCAGTCTCCACGAAGAAGGTCAGCTCCCAGACTACTGCACTGGGCAGCACAGCATGGGGAGGAAGTGACCAGCCCTCTGTGGAGAAAGAAGTGGTTTGGGACTATTTAGAAAAGCTGGACATGCACAAGTCCATGGGGCCGGATGCGCTGCATCCAAGAGTGCTAAAGGAGTTCGCTGATGTGATTGTCCATTGTCTTTGAAAACTCATGGTGATCGGATGAAGTCCCGGACTGACTGGAAAAAGGCTAATGTAGTGCCCACCTTTAAAAAAGGGAAGAAGGAGGATCCTGGGAACTACAGGCCAGTCAGCCTCACCTCAGTCCCTGGAAAAATCATGGAGCAGGTCCTCAAGGAATCAATTCTGAAGCACTTAGATGAGAGGAAAGTGATCAGGAACAGTTAGCAGGGATTCACCAAGGGCAAGTCATGCCCGACTAACCTAACTGCCTTCTATGATGAGGTAACTGGCTCTGTGGATGAGGGGAAAGCGGTGGACATGTTGTTCCTTGACTTTAGCAAAGCTTTTGACATGGTCTCCCACAGTATTCTTGCCAGCAAGTTCAAAAAGTATGGGCTGGATGAATGGACTATAAGGCGGATAGAAAGTTGGCTAGATTGTCGGGCTCAACGGGTAGTGATCAATGGCTCCATGTCTAGTTGGCAGCCGGTATCAAGTGGAGTGCCCCAAGGGTCGGTCCTGGGGCCGGTTTTGTTCAATACCTTCATAAATGATCTGGAGGAGGGTGTGGACTGCACTCTCCTCAAGTTTTCAGATGACACTAAAGTGGGAGGAGAGGTAGATACGCTGGAGGGTAGGGATAAGATACAGAGGGCCCTAGACAAATTAGAGGATTGGGCCAAAAGAAATCTGATGAGGTTCAACAAGGACAAGTGCAGAGTCCTGCACTTAGGATGGAAGAATCCCATGCACCGCTACAGACTAGGGACCAAATGGCTCGGCAGCAGTTCTGCAGAAAAGGACCTAGGGGTTACAGTGGACAAGAAGCTGGATATGAGTCAACAGTGTGCCCTTGTTGCCAAGAAGGCCAATGGCATCTTGGGATTTATAAGTAGGGGCATTGCCAGCAGATCGAGGGACGTGACCGTCCCCCTCTATTCGACATTCGGTGAGGCCTCATCTGGAGTACCGTGTCCAGTTTTGGGCCCCACACTACAAGAAGGATGTGGAAAAATTGAAGAGAGTCCAGCGGAGGGCAACAAAAATGATGAGGGGACTGGAACACATGACTTATGAGGAGAGACTGAGGGAACTGGGATTGTTTAGTCTGCAGAAGAGAAGAATGAGGGGGGATTTGATAGCTGCTTTCAACTACCTGAAAGGGGGTTCCAAAGAGGATGGATCTATACTATTCTCAGTGGTAGCTGATGACAGGACAAGGACTAATGGTCTCAAGTTGCAGTGGGGGAGGTTCAGGTTGGATATTAGGAAAAAGTTTTTCACTAGGAGGGTGGTGAAACACTGGAATGCATTACCTAGGGAAGTGATGGAAACTCCTTCCTTAGATATTTTTAAGGTCAGGCTTGACAAAGCCCTGGCTGGGATGATTTAGTTGGGGACTGGTCCTGCTTTGAGCAGGGGTTGGACTAGATGACCTCCTGAGGTCCCTACCAACCCTGATATTCTATGATTCTAAGCATCATGCAACAGCCAATGCTGGAGGCAGAGGTCTGATCCAGTACAGCAACAACTTTGGATCTGTACAGTACTCATGTTCATAGCCCCCAGAGCACCTTGATAAAAATCAAACTAAACTGCTGGAAAGGCAAGCTGGGCCATTACTCAGTGGATCCAGGAACTGCTGCAAAGTATGTACCGATGGATCTTTCATTTTGTACAGTGCTAAGATACTTTGGTGATGGGTATTTTAGTACACCCTGACCCAACAGGCTTCTTCTCCTGCCCACACACAAACACACACAGAAATAAAAGCAGCTTCAACCTGGCCTGGAGAACTGTCAAAACTAGGGGAGAGCACTCGGGTTTATAACAGCAAAGGCCCTGTCTTGTTGAGATTATAGTCCGGGATGGACAGAAGTTCCACCCACACTGATCTCAAGTGCTGACTGGAGATACGACTAGACTTCCTAAGAGACTGGCAGCTGTCCTAACCTATCAACAGTAAAACCCTGCAGATTGCTAGTGCAGGTATCTCCATCTGCAGCCAATGCAGACTGTGGGATTTGCATTTTTAGAGTTATCATGGCAATGTCCACACACAGAAAGAAGGGTCACAGCCACAGAGTTTTTCAAGAATGAAAAAAACCTCTTCTGACCACCACTGGGACACATCTACATTCAGCTCCTGGAGAAAAGTGATCACCCATGTCCACTCCTAGCTATGATCGCATTCAACTAAATTGCTCAGAGCAAATCCAACAAGGGAAAAGGCAGTCACCAACCAGGTAGATCCTCCAGGCATGAGACAAATGCTGTGTAGAAATGTGACAAGCTCAGTAGTTTTCATACTCACTAGCTGTTTACCGGAAGCCTCTTTTCCAAGAGCACCAGCCTGGGCTGTCTCTGAACAGGATTCTCTGCTGACACCTTGTGGTACTAGGCTTTGTACTGTGCTTGGGAGTCTAGCCTGGAACGCGCAATTCTCCTAAACTTTCTTTTTATGTTGTAGGACTAGGGATCAGCCTCTTTGGGTTAAAGGGACTCGACTTTTCAGCTGGAGAGCTCAAAACAATTGACAAAGGTGGAGTCACATCTCCATTTTTACACAGGGAAACTGAGGCACAAAGAGGCAAAATTACTTGCCTAATATCACATGGAAAGTCAGTAACAGAGACAGGAAGAAATCCCAGACACCTGACTCTCTACTGTCCTGCATCTTTAAAAACTGCGAAGAAAAATCAGGCCCCAGCGATATTAGTAGTCATATAGTACAGATATGTGGTTTTCAGAGCAGGTAATTCTGGTAGCATCCCGACAAAGTGTGGCCCAGATTCAAGAAGCACTGAAATGAACAACCTACTTAAGTGCCACTGAAGTCAGGGAGACTTTTCGTCGGGGGGCCCACAGTGAAGCAGAACAGCCTCCCCCCAGCACAGTACAGCACAAGCCGGGATGTGTAACAAGGCTGAGTTACCAGGACCGGGGACCCATCAACTCTGCAGTGGCTAATGTTTGGTTACACACAGACAGGGCGGCAGATCTCAGCAGCCCCAAATGCAGGCAAGGGCCGTACTGGGCTCATAACGCCCTGCTTTGAGATAACAGTTCCCGCTACCCCAGCGCTTGCTGCTTGGCTGGGGGTGGGGGCTGGGAGGGGCGCCCATCAAGCCCTGACTCGCTGCCCAGGCTCTCCGCTGTTTTCCTAGAGCCCCAGCAGCTCCTGGAGTCCTGCGGCTGGGGGAGCCGCTCAGGCTGGGCTGAAAAAAGAGAAAGGGATGTCTCCAGTCAGTCTGGTGATTGGGGGTGAAGGGGGGGCAAGGGAGAGTGGAGACGAAAAGGAAGGTGACCGGGCCCTCGGCGGGGCGGGGGGCGAGAAAAGGGGGCGGCCGGGCCCGGGGCGGGGCGGGGGGCGAGAAAAGGGGGCGGCCGGGCCCGGGGGCGAGTAAAGGGGGGCGGGCCCCCCATGTTGTCTCGTCGGTGGCCCAGGCCCCGCCACTCCCCCAGGGCAGCCCGCAGCCCCCTACCCCCTGCGCGCCGGCCCCCGGGCTCGAGCACGTCCGGCGCACCCAGAGCTACTTCCGGGTCATGGCCGAGCCAGGACGGGAAGGCGCCACGCGGCGCATGCGCTGTGGCCTGCGCTGGAGAGCGCCCGTCGCGAGCCGGGCCGCGCGCGAAAGGCGCACGTGGCCGGACAGGCGCCCCCTGCTGCGGCGGGGTCCGCAGGGCCGAGCTGCGGGTGTCGCCTCTGCCCCCTGCCGGGCGCAGGGGGGCCGCGGGCCCAAGGAAGCGTCGCTTCGCTGCCTGCCCCTGGCCGGGCAGCCAGGGCCCGCGGCAGAGACGCCGAGCCGGGGGATGCTCTGCCTCGCTCCCCTTTAAAAAAAATGTAATCCGTACTGGAGGGAGACGATCAGTTTCCCCAATGCCAAGATTTCAGGCACAGGGAATTTCAGAGGGAGAAAGGTGCCTGCCCGCCCTGGGGCGGCAGGAGGAGCCCTGTGCCCCGTCCCGGCTGGGTCGCGGCTTGTGGCACCTTAGAGACGAACCAGTTTCTTGGAGCGCAGGCTTTCGTGCCTGCAGCCGACGGAGGGAGGTGGAGCTCGCAGAAGCTCCCGCTCCCATCAAGTGGTTCCTCACTAAGATGCCACAAGTCCTCCTGTTCTTTTTGCGGATACGGACCAACGCGGCTGCTCCTCTGAAACCTGACTGAAGGCTAAGCACCAGCCGTTCATTCGTGGGCCCCCATGTGGTCGTGATGTGCCCCTTCCACGTGTGGTCCCAGCATGACAGCACCCTTGATGCCACGGTAAATGTATTGCCGGGATGAGAATGAAAACATTTATTCAAAAACAAAATAAGATATTTGAAGCCACACTGATGTTGGGGACACTGGGCATGGCCACTAGGTAACTCGAGGGGATGGAAGACCACAAGTGTCGATGAAGCCCCCTCGCACTAGGCTCAAGTGTCCTTGCCCCCCCCACCTGGAGGCACTCGCAGCAGTTATGCTGAGGATCTGCAACAATATGTTGCAGAGTCAGACTGCCTGAAACTAAACAAGGCCAAACAGGGCAGAGATGGAAGAAAAATGCTGAATAAAGCAGCTTTATGTATAGGTTAACAAATGATACAAAAAACAAGGGGACTAGCTGGGAACTGGATTGGCTAGCTAGATGGATACTTAGGGCAGCTTGCAATTGGATAAGTATGCTGAAGAAAGGATGTATAAAAGCCCGTGTAACTTCCTGCTCTGTATGCAGGATTTGAGATCTTATTCTCCCTGTACCTTTTTGCAGCTGCAAATAAACTTTTCTGCTTCTCCACCCCGTTGTGATTATTGGGTGAAACACACCGGGTAGCGAACCAACCCCTGCTGTTGTTTGGCCTCTCAGCACTGGGTGCTGGCAACACTGAGACCTTCACTCAGCCCATAGAGAACAAACTAGGCTAACATCAAAGTACCCAGAACACCACTGAATTTGGTTTGTGTGGAAGGGGGCTTGTTTGTTAGTTTTGTCTTTTTTCTTTAAACACTCGGTCTGCTTGGGGTCCTGAACACAAGTGCTTAATTAACACACTTATGAGCCATATTAAGCCTGGATGTAGCAGGCAGTGGTGTCACACCTGCATCTCCCCACCACCACCTCCTCCCCCACAAACAATCTTCACACCTGGGCTCTTCCCCCACCCCCACCTATTGTCCCCATCCCACACAACTAATCCCCTTACAAAGGCTCTCCTCAGTCTCCCTGCTACTGCCTACCCTCCCACACACTTTCATAGAATCATAGAATATCAGGGTTGGAAAGGACCTCAGGAGGTCATCTAGTCCAACCCCCTGCTCAAAAGCAGGACCCATCCCCAATTAAATCATCCCAGCCAGGGCTTTGTCAAGCCTGACCTTAAAAACTTCTAAGGAAGGAGATTCCACCACCTCCCTAGGCAACGCATTCCAGTGTTTCACCACCCTCCTAGTGAAAAAGTTTTTCCTAATATCCAACCTAAACCTCCCCCACTGCAACTTGAGACCATTACTCCTTGTCCTGTCCTCTTCTACCACTGAGAATAGTCTAGAACCATCCTCTCTGGAACCACCTCTCAGGTAGTTGAAAGCAGCTATCAAATCCCCCCTCATTCTTCTCTTCTGCAGACTAAACAATCCCAGTTCCCTCAGCCTCTCCTCATAAGTCATGTGTTCCAGACCCCTAATCATTTTTGTTGCCCTTCGCTGGACTCTTTCCAATTTATCCACATCCTTCTTGTAGTGTGGGGCCCAAAACTAGACACAGTACTCCAGATGAGGCCTCACCAATGTCGAATAGAGGGGGACGATCACGTCCCTCGATCTGCTCGCTATGCCCCTACTTATACATCCCAAAATGCCATTGGCCTTCTTGGCAACAAGGGGACACTGTTGACTGAAATCCAACTTCTCGTCCACTGTCACCCCTAGGTCCTTTTCTGCAGAACTGCTGCCTAGCCATTCGGTCCCTAGTCTGTAGCGGTGCATTGGGCTCTTCCGTCCTAAGTGCAGCACCCTGCACTTATCCTTATTGAACCTCATCAGATTTCTTTTGGCCCAATCCTCCAATTTGTCTAGGTCCCTCTGTATCCTATCCCTGCCCTCCAGCTTATCTACCACTCCTCCCAGTTTAGTATCATCCGCAAATTTAATGAGAGTGCAATCCACACCATCTTCCAGATCATTTATTAAGATACTGAACAAAACCGGCCCCAGGACCGACCCCTGGGGCACTCCACTTGACACCGGCTGCCAACTAGACATGGAGCCATTGATCACTACCCGTTGAGCCCGACAATCTAGCCAACTTTCTACCCACCTTATAGTGCATTCATCCAGCCCGTACTACTTTAACTTGCTGACAAGAATACTGTGGGAGACCGTGTCAAAAGCTTTGCTAAAGTCAAGAAACAATACATCCACTGCTTTCCCTTCATCCACAGAACCAGTAATCTCATCATAAAAGGCGATTAGATTAGTCAGGCATGACCTTCCCTTGGTGAATCCATGCTGACTGTTCCTGATCACTTTCCTCTCATGTAAGTGCTTCAGGATTGATTCTTTGAGGACCTGCTCCATGATTTTTCCGGGGACTGAAGTGAGGCTGACTGGCCTGTAGTTCCCAGGATCCTCCTCCTTCCGTTTTTTAAAGATTGGCACTACATTAGCCTTTTTCCAGTCATCCGGGACTTCCCCCGTTCGCCACGAGTTTTCAAAGATAATGGACAATGGCTCTGCAATCACAGCCGCCAGTTCCTTTAGCACTCTTGGATGCAACTCGTCCGGCCCCATGGACTTGTGCACATCCAGCTTTTCTAAATAGTCCCTAACCACCTCTTTCTCCACAGAGGGCTGGCCATCTATTCCCCATGTTGTGATGCCCAGCGCAGCAGTCTGGGAGCTGACCTTGTTCGTGAAGACAGAGGCAAAAAAAGCATTGAGTACATTAGCTTTTTCCACATCCTCTGTCACTAGGTTGCCTCCCTCATTCAGTAAGGGGCCCACACGTTCCTTGGCTTTCTTCTTGTTGCCAACATACCTGAAGAAACCCTTCTTGTTACTCTTGACATCTCTTGCTAGCTGCAACTCCAGGTCGATTTGGCCCTCCTGATTTCATTCCTACATGCCCGAGTAATATTTTTATACTCTTCCCTGGTCATATGTCCAACCTTCCACTTCTTGTAAGCTTCTTTTTTATGTTTAAGATCCGCTAGGATTTCACCGTTAAGCCAAGCTAGTCGCCTGCCATATTTACTATTCTTTCGACACATCGGGATGGTTTGTCCCTGTAACCTCAACAGGGATTCCTTGAAATACAGCCAGCTCTCCTGGACTCCTTTCCCCTTCATGTTAGTCCCCCAGGGGATCCTACCCATCCGTTCCCTGAGGGAGTCGAAGTCTGCTTTCCTGAAGTCCAGGGTCCGTATCCTGCTGCTTACCTTTCTTCCCTGTGTCAGGATCCTGAACTCAACCAACTCATGGTCACTGCCTCCCAGATTCCCATCCACTTTTGCTTCCCCTACTAATTCTTCCCGGTTTGTGAGCAGCAGGTCAAGAAAAGCTCCCCCCCTAGTTGGCTTCTCTAGCACTTGCACCAGGAAATTGTCCCCTACGCTTTCCAAAAACTTCCTGGATTGTCTATGCACCGCTGTATTGCTCTCCCAGCAGATATCAGGAAAATTAAAGTTACCCATGAGAACCAGGGCGTGCGATCTAGTAGCTTCTGCGAGCTGCCGGAAGAAAGCCTCATCCACCTCATCCCCCTGGTCCGGTGGTCTATAGCAGACTCCCACCACTACATCACTCTTGTTGCTCACACTTCTAAACTTAATCCAGAGATTCTCAGGTTTTTCTGCAGTTTCGTACCGGAGCTCTGAGCAGTCATACTGCTCCCTTACATACAGGGCTACTCCCCCACCTTCTCTGCCCTGCCTGTCCTTCCTGAACAGTTTATAACCATCCATGACAGTACTCCAGTCATGTAATTTATCCCACCAAGTCTCTGTTATTCCAATCACGTCATAATTCCTTGACATCACCAGGACCTCCAGTTCTCCCTGCTTGTTTCCAAGGCTTTGTGCATTCGTATATAAGCACTTGAGATAACCTGCTGATCGCCCCTCATTCTCAGTATGAGGCAGGAGCCCTCCCTTCACAGACATTCCTGCCTGTGCTTCCTCCCAGTATCCCGCTTTCCCACTTACCTCAGGGCTCTGGTCTCCTTCCCCTGGTGAACCTTGTTTAAAGCCCTCCTCACTAGGTTAGCCAGCCTGCTCGCAAAGATGCTCTTCCCTCTCTTCGTAAGGTGGAGCCCGTCTCTGCCTAGCACTCCTCCTTCATGGAACACCATCCCATGGTCAAAGAATCCAAAGCCTTCTCTCCGACACCACCTGTGTAGCCATTCGTTGACTTCCACAATTCGACGGTCCCTACCCAGGCCTTTTCCTTCCCCGGGGAGGATGGACGAGAACACCACTTGCGCCTCAAACTCCTTTATCCTTCTTCCCAGAGCCACGTAGTCCACAGTGATCCGCTCAAGGTCATTCTTGGCAGTATCATGGGTGCCCACGTGGAGAAGCAGGAAGGGGTAGCGATCCGAGGGCTTGATGAGTCTTGGCAGTCTCTCCATCACATCGCGAATCTTAGCCCCCGGCAAGCAGCAGACTTCTTGGTTTTCCCAGTCAGGGCGGCAGATAGATGACTCAGTCCCCCGGAGTAGAGAGTCCCCGACCACCACCACCCACCTCCTTCTCTTGGGAGTGGTGGTCGTGGAACCCCCCATCTCAGGACAGCACATCTCATGCCTTCCAACCAGCGGAGTCTCCTTCTGCTTTCTCCCCCCAGACATATCATCTGGTCCACTCTCTGCAATGGTACCTGTGGAGAGAACATGAAAGCGGTTAGTTACCTGTGTCCGCGTTGCTGGAACCCGGACATTCCCCCTTCTGCTTCTGGAGGTCACATGTTGCCAAGCTTCTTCACTGGCCTCTTGGCTCCATTGTGCAACCTGCTCTAAATCTTTAGAGCTTTGTGCCCGTAGAAGCATATCCTGACACTTGTCCAGAAAATCCTCCGTTTCTCGTATGCAACGCAGGGTCGTTATCTGTTGCTCCAGACCTTCAATCTTCTCTTCCAATATGGAGACCAGCTTGCACTTTGTACAGACAAAGTCGCTTCTGTCCTGTGGAAGAAAGACAAACATGGCACATCCAGTGCAGGTCACAACAGCTGAACCCCCCCCTTCCATATCACCTTCCTACTATGAGCTTCCTCAGAGAAGTTGACAAGATGTAAGCCTCACTGGGCTCACTCTAGGCGAACTCCTAGGCAAACTCCTGCTGTGTGCTGCTCTGCTGTCCCCCGCTGCTCAGCTGGTTCGCTGACGCTCATCTGGTTCGCGAAGCTCTGGCTATTTTTAAACAGGGCTGTCACCCCTGGGCTTTCACCCCAGGGCTGTCACCTCCCTCTCTTCTACTACCTGCCCCCCAACACACACACACTGAGCCAACCCCCATCTTCAACCCAGACTCTCCCTCCCCACCCTCCCTCTGCCCCTGTCATACCAACCCCCACCTTAAACACCCTTCTTCTCCTACACCCCCCACACGGAGTCACTGCCAGCTCCCCCATCGCACCCTGACTTGCCCCACAACTGCCCCTTTCCTGCAAAACTGGGCTGTGCCCCCTCCCCTCCCCGGAGTGCAAGGGGGCAGTTCCTGGGCATTCCCACTGGCAGGGGGCACGGAAGCCAGCACTGACAAGTCCCACTGTCACCACCCTGCCCTGCTCCCAGGGACCACAGACCACCACCCCCACCTGAAGTGCAGGGTTGAGACAATGCCCAGGAGCCCCCAGGCATCACATTTGCTGGGGGGCTGCCCCCAGCTCCCCACCGCCCAGAGCTGCCCAGAGGGGGGGCAAGTGGGGCGATTTGCCCTGGGCCCCACAGGGGCCCCCACGAGTGTTTTCAGTGGCACTTCGGCAGCAGGGGGTCCTTCCGCTCCATGTTTTCGGCGAAGTGCCCCGAAGACCCTGAGCGGAAGGACCCCCTCCGCCAAAGACCCCAGGCCCCCTGAATCCTCTGGGCGGCCCTGCCACCGCCCCAGGAGAGTAGGGGAGACTCAGGGGTGGTGGGAGCCAGGAGCTCCAAGGGGGAAGTGAGCGCAGCAGGATTAGCACCAGGAACCCTCTCACTGCACCAGGCCATTTCCTTGGTTGGGGTTTCTTTTTGGTCTGCTCTGACAATTTAAGCTGGGGTGGCTGGTAGCATGGCGCGGGGCATTCTGGGACTAGTAGTGCAGCTGGCAGCCCAGGGCCCCAGTGAAACACAGCGGCGTGCAAACTACAACTCCCAGCACACCCTGCAACACCCAGTTCCTTTTGCACCTGTGCACTGCACTCCCCAGGCTGCTGAGTGTTTCAGCTGGCGCTGGGAAGTTGCTGACTCTTCACATTGCTGGGCTGTGGCCCAGGCCGGATTAACCCTTTGTGGACCCCTTCGAAGTGTGGGCCTGGCGCCCCCGGAGCCATTGTAAACCCTGTACTGACTGCACTGAGCTGGGGCGGGGGGGATTATACCATCTACAGTTATTAACCAACTGAATAGGAAACTAGGAAATTATCATTTAAAAGGTTTAAATGATCATTTAAAAGGTAGATTGATCCTTTTGTTTCATGTGATTAACAGAATTTTATTAGGCCAAGAAATCACAGTTCAGAAAAAACATTAAAAAAATCTCCCCTGACTCCTTGGTATTGAAATGTCTTCGCTCAGAGTCTCATTGTCCATTTGCTCTTTGAAGACTGAGTTAAGATTGGAACTTCACTCCTGTCTGGAAACGAGTTTCACCTTAACTTAGTTAAGAGGATTGTCTTTGTCAGGGGACTTGATCTTGTCCAACTTCTTCCCCCCAGGAGGCCCTTGGAAAGACCCTCCAGAGGGGGTGTTTCACACACTCCCTCCGGCCCCAGGGAGACGAACCGCCCGCCATGTACCCGTTCTAGCCGAGCCTGATTTTCCCAGAATGGCATTACGAGCAACGGCACAGGGAGTTTGGCCACTTCTAGCTAGAGACACCTGGGAAGATGTTGGAAGACGGGAAGCATTTGGTAATACCAGTACAATGCACAGCAAGGAAACCCTGCTTCAGCCCCCATAGGCATCCTCTGTAGATACTGTGGAGAGAAGCTGACTGACCGTGGTTTAGGAATAAGTGTTAGATCCAGTTCTGGGACGCTCTCTGCTCTCACTGACTGTGCTCAGAACGTGCTCTCAAGCAGACAGTGGCACCCGCAGCCGGTGGGGCACACTTCCTGGGTGCGAAACCACTCCATCATGTGACTGGTGTGTCCTCCATGCCCACAAGTCAGACAGAAATTGGAGGAGCCTCGCACTGCCACGTGGCAGATGGCACACTGGAAAGTGAAGCCCTTGCAGATGGCGCATTGGGTGCCCCGCACCTCGCTGCGGCAGTGAGTGCAGTACACCCCGAACTCTGGCAGTGGAGGAGAGGGAAAAGAAACAGAGAGAAAAACAGTTACTGCTGGCTCCTGTAGTCCTGGAGACTGCAGTTCTTTACTGGTCCCCGGGCAGGTGCAGCAGAGTCTCCCTCGTCTTCCACCAGCCCTGCTGATCTGCCTCAGACCTGACCTGGGGAGCCTGCCTCCCTGAGTAAGAGCAGAGTTCTTCTCACAAGCCTGTTACATTCTTTTGCTGCTCTGCTGAGGCTACCCAGTTAGGCGGAGACACCACAGCATGAGACCCATTAAAACAAGCCATCTGAACAGCATCAGGAGAAGGGAACTGCTTTTAGCCATGACTAACCTGGGCTGGACTGAGGTGCTGTGGAGGTGAAATCCTCAGCTGCCCTCTTCTCTCTCTACATTTCTGAAGAATTTTGTCTTTAGCATCCATCTCCTCCGTGAGAAACAAACAGGCACAAGCCAATCCCAGCATGTCAAGGGGAGCAAAGACGACCTCTGGTGTGAGGCTGCCATTTTCCTGGAGAAGAGCAGCCATGATCCAGGCTGCTCGGCTCTTCCAGCCCAATGACAAGGTGACGGGGCAAAGCGAGCTTCCTCACAGCTGCTGCTAATGCTGCTTTCCTGTCTGACATTACGCCCACCCAGAAGTGCAGTGTGCCTTCCTCTTGCTAAGCCTGCTGGAGAACTGCAATGGGCAGCCACAGGGTTTGGGGGAGTATCTGGCCCACCCATTTTTAGGCTGGGTTTCCTAAAGCCAGAAAACAGGCTTTTGTGATTCTACCCACTAGACCGGGGTGGGCAAACTTTTTGGCCCGAGGACCACATCAGGGTTCCAAAACTGTATGGAGGGCTGGGTAGGGAAGGCTGTGCCTCCCCAAACAGCCTGGCCCCTGCCCCCTATCCACCCCCTCCCACTTCCTGCCCCCCTCAGAACCCCCCACCCATCCAACCTCCCCTGCTCCTTGTCCCCTGACTACCCCCTCCTTGTCCCCTGACCCCCCACCCTACCCAACCCCCGCCCCTCGCTCCCTGTCCCCTGACTGCCCTGACCCCTACCCACACCCCTGCCCCTGACAGGCCCCCTAGGACTCCCACACCTATCCAACCCCTCCTGTTCCTTATCCCCTGATTGCCCCCCCCCAACCTCCTCCCCATCCAACAACCCCCTGTCCCCTGACTGCCCCCAGGACCTCCTGCCCCTTATCCAATTACCCCGCCCCCTCCGCCTTACCATGCCGCTCAGAGCAGCATGTCCGGTAGCCACGCCACCTTGCTGCCTGGCAGGAGCTAGCAGCCCCGCCGCACAGAGCGCTGGCAGCATGGCGAGCTGAGGCTGCGGAGGAGGGGGGACAGCAGGGGAGGGGCCGTGGGCAAGCCTCCCTGGCCAGGAGCTCAAGGGCCGGGCCGGGCGTGGCCCATAGTTTGCCCACCTCTGCACTAGACATTGTGAGAACCTCTTAATCCATAGTCAGCGATTGGGTTGGCTCCCCATACTACCCCAGATGAGGAACAGCCTCTAGCACTGTCAAGAGGCCATCACTACACAGGGGTAAACACACTTCCAGCTAGTAACATCCCTCCGTCCCACATATAAAGCCACTTAGCCAAGATCTAAAGAGCCCATCTCCACTGTGAACTGCCAACGGGGGGGGGGGGGCTGAGTACTTACCAAGCAATTTTCTGCCACAGCCAGTCTCTTGATGGACTTAATGGATACATCTTAGGTCATCATGTCTGCTGAATATTTATCCCCAAACCTTTGAGGCAGGACAAGGACAGTACAGGGTAACTGGAAGAGGCAGAATTACACACTCACCAATTCCCTTGTGCGGGTCGGGCGGACAGGAGACGAACTTCAGAACCTCAGCCCGTTTCTCTCGTAGACCCCAGCGATAAAGGATTTCCCCGTAGCATTTCTTGAAGTCATCAAACTGCTGAGTGTTGGCAGGGTCCAGGAGCCTAGAGGAAGGACCCACACAGTCAGTCACTTGATCTGTTCACTCACCACAGCTCTAGCTGCGATTCTCAACCCAGCCACCAGCAATGGCTATGAAGTCACTTCACAGGTAGCTACGGGAGCAACATATTATTTTCCTAGTCTCTCAGACAGTGTTATAATGTTTTGAATGACAATGTCACAGTGAGCCTGAGTGGACCACATCTGTCATCGGAACTAGGATGCGTGGGGGAGGATCAGGTTCTCTTCTGAAGCCCTCGCTGCAGCTGATTCATGAAAAGATTTCACAGGCAGTCAGCCAATCACTTGAGCAGAATTGGTTTGGCGCATTAAGCTTTCAAGGCCACTAACTGAGTGAAAGTCTGGACTAAGGGCTTGCCAACTCCCCCTTGATTAGCTGTAATGCCACCACGGAACAGCTAGCTATACAGCCTTCCAGCTGACTCTGAGAACTACAGAACCCTCTGTGGAGAAAGAAGTGGTTCGGTCCTGGGGCCGGTTTTGTTCAATATCTTCATAAATGATCTGGAGGATGGTGTGGATTGCACTCTCAGCAAATTTGTGGATGATACTAAACTGGGAGGAGTGGTAGATACGCTGGAGGGGAGGGATAGGATACAGAAGGACCTAGACAAATTGGAGGATTGGGCCAAAAGAAATCTGATGAGGTTCAATAAGGATAAGTGCAGGGTCCTGCACTTAGGATGGAAGAATCCAATGCACCGCTACAGACTAGGGACCGAATGGCTAGGCAGCAGTTCTGCGGAAAAGGACCTAGGGGTGACAGTGGACGAGAAGCTGGATATGAGTCAGCAGTGTGCCCTTGTTGCCAAGAAGGCCAATGGCATTTTGGGATGTATAAGTAGGGGCATAGCGAGCAGATCGAGGGATGTGATCGTTCCCCTCTATTCGACATTGGTGAGGCCTCATCTGGAGTACTGTGTCCAGTTTTGGGCCCCACACTACAAGAAGGATGTGGATAAATTGGAGAGAGTCCAGCGAAGGGCAACAAAAATGATTAGGGGTCTAGAACATATGAGTTATGAGGAGAGGCTGAGGGAACTGGGGATGTTTAGTCTGCGGAAGAGAAGAATGAGGGGGGATTTGATAGCTGCTTTCAACTACCTGAAAGGGGGTTCCAAAGGGGATGGCTCTAGGCTGTTCTCAATAGTAGCAGATGACAGAACAAGGAGTAATGGTCTCAAGTTGCAGTGGGGGAGATTTAGGTTAGGAAAAACTTTTTCACTAGGAGTGTGGTGAAACACTGGAATACGTTACCTAGATAGGTAGTGGAATCTCCTTCCCTAGAAGTTTTTAAGGTCAGACTTGACAAAGCCCTGGCTGGGATGATTTAGTCAGGGATCGGTCCTGCTTTGAGCAGGGGGTTGGACTAGATGACCTCCTGAGGTCCCTTCCAACCCTGATATTCTATGTTTCTATGAACTGCCCAGAAGCTGCACAAACGGGAGTTGCTGTGTGCTACCTTTTGTTCTTGTCGTGTTGATCTCTCTCGCGCTCCCGGTGGTCAGCGTACGTCAGGTTTCCATAGCGGAGGTCGTCAGGCGAAGACTCGCACCAGGCGGTGAATGTGTGCTCTGTCTCTTTGCTTGCTGCATAAGTCAAAAGATGGTTAATGTGCCCCAGAAAGGCAGTGATGAGTGGGGTATGAATGAGGCCCTGTGATGTGGGGAGGAGATGTGAAAGTTAGATGGAAGCACGTGCAGCTATGTGCTCTCCCACCCTAGGAAGTGTTAATATTGTCTTCTACACCAGTACGTCTTAACCAGGGGTCCGGGCGCCCCCCTGGGGGCTGTGAACAAGTTTCGGGGTTCTGCCAAGCAGGACCAGTGTTAGACTCGCTGGGGCCCAGGGCAGAAAGCCGAAGCTCCACTGCATGGCCCTGAGCCCCGCCACCTGGGGCTGAAGCAGAAGCCTGAGTAACTTAGCTTCACGGTACCCCCTGTGATGTGGGGCCCTGGGCAATTGCCCTGCTTGCTACCCCTTAATACCAGTCCTGGTTTTTATATGCAGAAAACCAGTTGTTGTGGCACAGGTGGGCTGTGGAGTTTTAGAGCACGTTGTGGGGGCCTCAGAAAGCAAAAGGCTGAGAACCCCTGGTCTACACCATTACAAACACTCCTACATCGCAGGGAGCCAGAGCCAACCCTTTCATTTGCAATCAGCCTCTTGCGAGCATCCCTCCAGCTCCCCAGCAAAGGGGCCATGCAATGACTGTATGGGGAGAAGGCTCCCAGGACACAGGAAATCTGGATTCAGAAGGCTGCACCTGTCTTCCACCCCATATGAAAACAAGCAGATTGCTTCACAGGAGACTTGCACCGCTGGGTGCTGGTAGGAAAGTTAGCACCAGTACGGTTCCATTCCCAGTGGCTGGGAGCACACTGGTGTCAGGGGTTCCACACCTTGGGCTGGGGGAGGGGAGGATTCTTGTTCCTCTAGGGCCATGTGAGGAGGCTGGTATCAAAAGGGGCCTCATGGAGGAAATCTTTCAGAGAAGCGCATGACCCCTGGGTGTAGGGAGAAGAGTGGCACACCAACATCAGTGGGATTGTCCTTGCTTCTGCTCCCTTCCCTGTTCCACAGATAGCTGCAAACTGCACGGAGCGATTAAAGGTTTGCTGCTGCTTGGGCCCAATGTAGGCCATTGAGAGTCAAATATCATGTAAATGGCATTACGCTGGATCCTGGGGAAACAAAAGTGTTAACTTGGTGGGAAATGCCTGTAGGATCCAAAGTATTTGTGTCACTTTTAAGGGCTGCCACCGACACTCGAGCCTTCCCGACTGCCACTATTCTAGCTAAGCCATCGCAAAGTCAAGAAGCAAGCGCCTCTCCCACAACTCTGGAGTAGAGAGAAAACGCGAAGGCCCTGGTCATAGCCCTTCCAGCAAATATCTGAATTGTCCCAACTGGTAATGGCTATGGGCTGCGGTGTACAGAATGACTGGCTTCAAAGTGGACAAGTGCTCTGGCAGCAATGATCCCACATCACCTTGTGTGACCAGCACAGCAACAAGGCAGTGTCACCTGGAGCATCTGCCAAGCCAGGAGAGGAGCAAAATATCACCAGCCACAGCCACCTACTTATCTTTGGTCACAAATACCCGGGAAAATAGAAGGGATGGGATGGATATTTGGAATCAAGTCCTCGAAAGCTGAATGGGGCTTGGGGAAGGTTTGCTCTATTAGACAAAGCAAGCTGCCTCGGTTCCTTGTAGTCCAATATCAGAGAGACAGGTTGTCTAGTAATAGGGTCATTCTGAGTGGTTTGTCCCACCACCCATCTGCCATGGGGAGAGACACTGCCATAGAGAGAGCTGGTTTTGGCTCCAGTGTGATCTCCCATCCAGCGCGCTGACAGTGACCTGGAGTCCTCGTGCACATCAGGTGAATTTTGCAGGGAGACTCGTTCCACCAGTGCACAGTTTGACAGAACACACTATGGAAGGACGGAAGAGTCAGAAGAAACATCAACATTAAACCATTAACAGGGGCAGATGGCACTTGGAGTCATGCTCATTTCCAGCCATGGTACCTGACCCACCAAAAAAACCATGGAATTTTGCTCTTTGCTTCTCAGATCCACAACCACTTGCAATTCTTTACCACCATCACCACCACAGATAGCCATTTATTGCCTAGGGTGCTCATGCGAATAAAGTCATTTCCTCTACCTGTCCACTCCCCTGCCTCTCCATACCTATGTTCCAGCCTCCAGTGTTGAGTCCAGGATCTGACATGCTGGAACAGGAGCCCGAAGACGTAAAGCTGGGCTGTTGAGTGGAAACAAGAGGAAGTTGTGTCACACACGAACCAAAGCTATTTCAGATTTTCAAGAAAAGCAGTTGGAAAGAAATGGCTGTGCATACATATCGGCTGTGGGAGAGCCCGTTGGAGGAACGCTGAAGGAAGGGTCCAGAGGAACTCACGCATCCCTGCAGCCTGGACTGGGCCTCAAACACACTGCAGAGCATGGCCAGGGTCTGCACGTCATGGAGCTGACAGTAATGAGCCAGCCTGAGAGAGGAGGAAAAGGGAGAGAGCAGGAGCTGAGGCAGAATTCACCAGCCAAAGGGAACACTGACAGCAGGCCAGGGGTTGGGGGACCTTATGGAACTAACTATGCCCTGCTGCTCAGAGGGTGTATGGGGTCTGGGGGAAATAGACTCTCCTTTTCATTACTTTACAAATAGATAAAAGAGCTTCCAGTTGGATAGACAATCAAGACCTAATTCCCAAGAGATGATGCCTCTCCGCATGGGGGTACCTAATCCCTTACTGTGGGGTGTTTCTTAAGGACCCCATCTGCACTGGGCATGCCCAAGGATCCTGGGGTCTGCACAGCTCCAAAGAGCAGTTCTGCAGGAGCAAGGTTAATTTGAGCCATGAGACTCGCCGTCTGATCATTTTGGTGAAGATACTCAGACTTCTCAGGCTCCTGGGGCCACTCCCTGCCCAGACCCCAACCCCAGCTTATAGGCCAGAGCAACGGGGATGAGACCAAAGTTTCATTCCTAAAGAGAGTTAGTTGATAGGGAGGCTTGGGGATGGATTTAATATAGAGCAGCCTGCAACACTGGCAGGAGATGGGATCCAAATGAGAGATCCAAAGTGTGCACTCTGCTCTCTACAAGCAGGATAATTAATAGGAGATGAATGGGGATTTGGGGTGAATTTCATCTATTTTGACATGTGGAGATTGTGCCATGTCCTACGAATCAGGGCTTTGGCCTGGAGCTTGGAGCAGTTCCGGAGCACCGGAGCTGCAGGTTTTTGCCTGGAGCTGGAGCAGAGCCGGAGCACAGCTCCAAAGCCCTGCTACGAATACACTGGTACCTGAGACAGAGACAGCAGATTTGGCCACTGTCAAGAGGTCAAACTAGGTGAATTAGTGGAGATAACTGTTCATGGCAAGGAAGATAGTGAACTAAGATCTCTACTTATTATCGTTTGACTAATGTAGTTATCTCCCACTTCCCTTCTCCCTCCTCCCCTTTGCCTCATTCACCATCATCGTCAGGCGATAATGTAGCCTGCAAACTCTTTTGGGGCAGGGACTATCTTTTAACTGTGTCTGTATAGTACCTAGCACAGCAGGGCCCTGTTTTCTGATTGGCATCCACAGGCTTTACTGCAATACAAACCACAGATGCTTCCTCCCAGCCAAACATAAGAGCAGCACCAACAAAGGGAGTTCTCTTCACCGTCTTGGTGAAGGACAGAGATTGGCACTGGTTGGAGGATGGTTATAAGAATGGACTGTTCCTCTTTCCCATACCAGGGCAGAACTAGGGCAGAGCCCATATAGCAGGTTTGGCAGAGCTGTCAGCAAAGCAACTCAAAGCAGATTCTAAGCTTCAGAACAGATTAGCATCGGCTATCAACACTTCCTGTCCAAACAGATTCAGATCAATGTCATGAGGTAGGTAATGTGCTGTGCAAGAGGTCTGAGTCTCAATCAGGCCTTAATGGAGAAAGCTACCAGGAAGCTCTCTGGATGACAAGAGATAGTTTGTACTTGGAGCAACAGCAGGGAATTTGATTGTTTAACTGGCAGCCAAATCAAGGCATTCAGTTGGAAGGTGGCGAGGGAAAGAATCATAGAATATCAGGGTCGAAAGGGACCCCCGAAGGCCATCCAGTCCAACCCCCTGCTCGAAGCAGGACCAATTCCCAGTTAAATCATCCCAGCCAGGGCTTTGTCAAGCCTGACCTTAAAAACCTCTAAGGAAGGAGATTCTACCACCTCCCTAGGTAACGCATTCCAGTGTTTCACCACCCTCTTAGTGAAAAAGTTTTTCCTAATATCCAATCTAAACCTCCCCCACTGCAACTTGAGACCATTACTCCTCGTTCTGTCATCTGCTACCATTGAGAACAGTCTAGAGCCATCCTCTTTGGAACCCCCTTTCAGGTAGTTGAAAGCAACTATCAAATCCCCCCTCACTCTTCTCTTCTGCAGGCTAAACAATCCCAGCTCCCTCAGCCTCTCCTCATAAGTCATGTGTTCTAGACCCCTAATCATTTTTGTTGCCCTTCGCCGGACTCTCTCCAATTTATCCACATCCTTCTTGTAGTGTGGGGCCCAAAACTGGACACAGTACTCCAGATGAGGCCTCACCAATGTCGAATAGAGGGGAACGATCACGTCCCTCGATCTGCTCGCTATGCCCCTACTTATACATCCCAAAATGCCATTGGCCTTCTTGGCAACAAGGGCACACTGCTGACTCATATCCAGCTTCTCGTCCACTGTCACCCCTAGGTCCTTTTCCGCAGAACTGCTGCCTAGCCATTCGGTCCCTAGTCTGTAGCGGTGCATTGGATTCTTCCATCCTAAGTGCAGGACCCTGCACTTATCCTTATTGAACCTCATCAGATTTCTTTTGGCCCAATCCTCCAATCCTGGATAAAAGCAGCAGTTCCCTCTTACATCAGGCCTCCTCCGTGCTAGTCAATCCAGATGTCTTGGAGCACCACATAGTGTACCATACACATTACATCAGAGCAGAAGCTAATCTTAGCTCAGCCAAAGGGCAGGTGGTTACTTGACGAGAGTGCCAGGGCTGCCTTCTATTTGCAATAAACAGATTTGTGGCTTCCCTCCTTTGTCCCATGAACGTGCACCTCACGATGGAGATGGAGCAGTCTCCCCATGTCCTATAACCCCATACTAAAGGTGTGGGCAGTCACAAGAAGTGCTAGAGAACTCCACAACTAGAGGTTATGCACTGGTTATCCCTGCATCAGCCTTTAGGCAGGATCTCTTAGCTCAAAGTCATTGGGATTAGCAAGCAGCTCCTCTCATCTGAGTCTGAAACAAGACCCTACAACTTTCAGCTCTGAACAGCTCTGCTCCAGAGACTACCGCTGCCCCTGCTTTGAGCCTTCAGAGACCTACAAGGACTCCAGGAGCTGACGTCCAAATGGATGTTGAGCCCAGGGCGTCTCCAAATCCGGGTCAGACTTTGGTCCAAGACAGAGATCTGTGGCTACCGTAGCCAGTGACCAGACCTGGACAGATACAAGAGAAACAGCGTCAAAGACAACTAGAAACAGAAATATACCTGCACTGAGGGCTCTGACCTCGCGCTGCAGTCAGGCATGCAAGGTTCAATAATGGCAGAATTCTTTCTTAACAGGTACAGCTGATTTGCTGGAGGCCCCAGAATCAGCCAAACCCTGATGGTTTTGGAGTTGGGCTCCATAATTATGGAGGATCAGTCAGTCATGTGAACCAACTAGCTACCTCTTAGCTGCAGGAAAGCAGTGTTAGCTGTTGGGGAGGGACCCCATTGACAGACCAGACCAGACCAGGGGTCCATCTAGTCTATTAGCCTGTCTGTGACAGCGGACAGCACCAAATACTTCAGTGCAATGTGCAAGAAGTTCCCTAGGGAACAATTATGGAATAAATCGTTGATAGGAGGAGTTTCTTCTTAACCCCCACCCATTTTGAGGTTGGTTTATGCCAGGCAGTGGGAGGTTATCATCATCAATAAGTGTCTAATCTGATTTTTAAAATCTGATGGTGCTCTTGACCTCTGTGACACTGTGTCAATGAGTTCCACAGGTGAACTACAACATATTAAAACACTTGACCTTTGATCAGTTTTAAATTTGCTGCCTTTCAGTTTTATTGAACGCTTCTTGTTCTTTTATTATGCATGAGGAGCACCTCATTCGCCATCTGTATACCTAACCCATTCATTATTTTGTATACTCTATCACATCCCCTCTGATTTGTCTCCCTTCTAAACTAAACCGTCCCAGACTTTTCAATCTCTCTCCACTGAGACATCTCTCTAGGACTCATTCACTCTTCTCACCAGTCTTTAACCCCTTGCTAAGTTTTCTGCTATATCCTTGTGAGATGGGGTGACCAAAACTGCACACAGTATTCTAGCTGAGGGTGAACCACTGATTCCGTCACAGAAAAGGAAGAGGGCAGGGAGGGAGGTGTTAGAAGGGCAATGGCAGGTAAGAGACAAGACAAGAGAGCTGAGAACATGGGAGAGAATAGGAAGGTGGAGAGAACAGGAAGGTGGAGAGAACAGGAAGGTGGAGAGAACGTAGAATGCAAAGAAACAGAGCCAGGGAATTTCAGGAGTGTGGCAGCACTGTGGTACCTGGGGAGATTGGAAAGGATTGAAGTACAGAAGCAAAGCAGGCCCTGAGTGAAGCAGCAGGCCACAGGGGCCAGGGGAAAGCAGGGTAATTCATACAAAGCAGGCTCATAAGGGGACATTGGGAAATTGTCATGCTGCAGCTCGGGGCTCCAGGTCTCAGCTGAGGAGCAGGACATTTCTGTAATGCTGCAGTGCAGGTGGGGGAATGAAATGCAAAAGTGGTGTAAGCACTGCAGCAATCAGCCAGTAAATCCTTCTAGGAATTAGCCTTTCCTATGACGTGCTATTGGATCCTTTTAATCCTTACATCACGTGAATCAGAAAATGTTTGTGGTTTATATTTAAGGAACACAAATATTTTTAAGGCTCGACATTTAGGTTTTTAAAACTTTTTTTTAAAAAAGCTTAAAATGAATTGAAACATTTGTATGAACTTAAGCAAATCAAATGAAATAGTGATTTAAAGGTATAACGTTTTGCTGGAGGGTTTGCAACACAAACATCAGACTATCCTGCTAAGGTAGGAGAATCAGAAGGTAACAGAGTACAAACAAAATGAAACTGAAACTAGTCTGTTTTCACCGGCCCAGTGGAATCCAATGCAAAGTAAGCAGCGTGATGGAGAAAAGGAAGGTCTCAATACCCGAAACACTATTAGATTGTAAGGTCTTTGGGGCACAGGCTGTCCGCCTTTTGTATTCGTCCCTATGGGTATGAGCCCCACAAGGAGAAGAGAGAGAGAGTTCCTCTTGCCAAAATGCTTACAGCAGCTGCAGTGATTTTGATGCATGGCCATTCCAGTCACTGACACAGTAGCACGCCCTGTGTCTAGGTTGGCCTATGAGAAATTCTCAGAGCACCTAGTCATCTCAGCTGGTTTGGCAAAGGGTCTGAAACGAACCATTTGCTGGCCTGGCCAGGGATTTCTCAATGAGATGTTACAAAAGTGTCAGTGCTTCTGCCCCAGTTACCAGGGATGACTCGTCTTAACCCTTCCAGGTGGTCTCTGCAGCGACTGCTGTGCCCCAACGACCCAGCCATGCCCTTGAAATCCAGGATGATGGCATGAGAATGACAAGGCGAGAGTAACGTGTTCACTAAGGCGTCCCGTTCAGCTGCTGTGCTCTAGATAAAGGGCAAGCCCAATACCTGGACGAGATCCCTACGTCCAACTGCCAGGGCTGAGGAGGCATTCTTCTGGCAGGTCTCCTGAATGTTACTGACGTTCAGTCTGAAAAAGAAAGAGGGCTCATCTCTTACTGACACACTACTTGCCAAGGGAGGGTTGGCTATGGATCACGACTACTGGACAGAACTCCCTAATCACACTGCAGGGTCAGATCGATCAGCATTTCCTCCACAGTCATTAAGAGACACCCGACCGCATGCCATCCAGCCGCCCTAACAGAGTGTCCACTGCACAACGTCCTGTTTCAATCCAACAGTGAATAGCAGGATCTGCTCTGACAGTCATCCGGAGATGGTCCACCACCAAAGAGTTATTACCATGGTGACATACTGGTGCAATGTGGAGCTGAGATTTGTTCTTGTACCCAGAAGCTGATAGCCATCTGGGCTGCCCCATTTACAAATTATTGTTACCATTCAATCCACCAGTCAGTTCATTTTATAGCCAGCTCTAGACTTTGAGGGGGAGCCAGGTATGACCCTGGGTGGGATGACATGCCACCACTGACAAGCCTCCAGCAGCACTGAGGGATTAGTGAGGCAGTACATGGACTTCACAGCTACTTGGCGGATTTCACGCTCACTGGCTGCAACACAGCTCCCCTAAACACCCCCATGATTTTCTCTTTCATCTGCTTCCATTCCTATCAGGGAGTACTGGGGAAAAGACTGCATAAGACCTTACAAGCAAATGGACCAGAAAGAGACCCTCCCCCTTTAAAGACAACCTGCAAATGTGAAACAATTGGCCAGTGGCTGGGTTATTTTTGCTTCTTTATGATAGAAAAGGTAGGGAAGGGATTTTGTGTTTTTTTTCCTTTTTAAAAACACATGACATTTAGGGACCATCTCGCCTCAAAGGTCCTCTGCTGACGAGGGAGAATGACAAGATCACTAGAATGGAAATGAAAGTGTAGCAATTGAAAGAAGAGTTTTCCCATCTGTTTTTTTGTTTGCTTTAGAACTTCAATGACTAATTAGCACATTGGAGAAAGGATGTCTTTAATAAAGATTCAGCACCTCCATACTTTTGATTAAGAGGAAAGCACTCACAATACAGATGCACAGCCCTGAAATTAATATGCTGTGATACAGGAAGGCCAGAGAACAGTGGTAGAGTGTTAGAGGGGAAATATATAAGCCCTAGGCTAATTAAGGCATGGTTCCCTGTAGACTAGGGAGGGTTGCTACAGGTTAATTGGAGCACCTGTTGTCAATTAAGGCCCTGTCAGGAACCTAATAAAATCTTCAGGCAGTCTGTCATAAATATAAAGGGAAGAGTAAACCCCTTTGAAATCCCTCCTGGCCAGGGGAAAGCTCCTCTCACCTGTAAAGGGTTAAGAAACTAAAGGTAACCTCGCTGGCACCTGACCAAAATGACCAATGAGGAGACAAGATACTTTCAAAAGCTGGGAGGAGGGAGAGAAACAAAGGGTCTGTGTCTGTGGGTATGCTGCTTTGCCGGGGATAGAACAGGAATGGAGTCTTAGAACTTTTAGTAAGTAATCTAGCTAGGTACGTGTTAGATTATGATTTCTTTAAATGGCTGAGAAAAGAACTGTGCTGAACAGAATAACTATTTCTGTCTGTGTATCTTTTTTGTAACTTAAGGTTTTGCCTAGAGGGGTTCTCTATGTTTTGAATCTAATTACCCTGTAAGGTATCTACCATCCTGATTTTACAGGGGGATTTCTTTATTTCTATTTACTTCTATTTTTATTAAAAGTCTTCTTGTAAGAAAACTGAATGCTTTTTCATTGTTCTCAGATCCAAGGGTTTGGGTCTGTGGTCACCTATGCAAATTGGTGAGGCTTTTTATCCAACATTTCCCAGGAAAGGGGGGGTGCAAGTGTTGGGAGGATTGTTCATTGTTCTTAAGATCCAAGGGTCTGGGTCTGTAGTCTCCTAGGCAAATTGGTGAGGCTTTTTACCAAACCTTGTCCAGGAAGTGGGTGCCAGGTTTTGGGAAGTATTTTGGGGGGAAAGACGCGTCCAAACAGCTCTTCCCCAGTAACCAGTATTAGTTTGGTGGTGGTAGCGGCCAATCCAAGGACAAAGGGTGGAATATTTTGTACCTTGGGGAAGTTTTGACCTAAGCTGGTAAAGATAAGCTTAGGAGGTTTTTCATGCAGGTCCCCACATCTGTACCCTAGAGTTCAGAGTGGGGGAGGAACCTTGACACAGTCAGAGGGGGAGGAGGAAGGAGAGAGGACTGGAGCGTGGAGGGTTGTTGTGAGATTTGGAAGACCAGAGAACTGAGGTAAGGGAGACCCTGCTGCAGCAGGACAGGGAGACTCCCTCCCCACAGCGTTGAAGGACTGAGGGTAAGAAACCTGCAGGGGCTGAGAGGGGCTGGGATTCAGAGCAAGGAGCAAACCCAGACCCCTCCCGTTTCCCTCCTCTATTGCCTTCCTGGGCCACTAGCGGGGCCCTCAGCACCCAAGAGCAGGGGCAAGGGGTGGCGTCTTAATGCCCCCGAGGGCCCCCCTCCCCCCCAAGAAAAGGGCACGTCCCACCATATGAACATTGGCCATCTTGTCACAACGCGCGCGCACACAAAGTTGAAAACACCTTTTTGAGAGCAAGAGAGAGGAAGAGTGTTTGAGTGTATGTGCACGCATAGGTAGGTAGATAGAGAGATAAACAGATAGCTATGGATTTCCAGGCCTCCTCATCCATTGTAAAGAAGCAAAAAAGGGCGAAAGCCCATTCCAAAACCAACCCTTTAGAGTTCTCCTTTAACATGCACCCCTATGAAAAGGGGCCCACGCTCACAATGTTTGTTTCAAATGATGAAGTCCTGCAACAGCCAGATATACAATTTTCAGCTGCTAGGGCTGGCGCTGGTTCCCACATTTCCTTCACCATGCATCCCTTCCAGAAGTTTTTGGGAAAGAAGCCATCTCTCCTAGGTAGACAGGGACACCATGGGAATGATGCAAGAGGTGAAGGATGGTGCTCAGTGGAAGAAGATGTTGATTGATTTTGACACTGCAGAGCACAGCGGTGGCATTGAGGGCCACCTTAGTTCGGGGCTAGAGATAGGGCTCTGTGGGCTGGTACTCACATGTACTGCTCCCCCAGCGATTTGTGCACGGGAAGCAGGCAAGAGATATCCTGTATGATGACTTTGCCAGCAGCTTTAATAGGTCGGTTATTCGCATCTGTCCCCTCACGCTTGCTTTTCCATCTCCTTGATTTCTGCAGAATAGATGGCAACAAGTAACTGAGGGAGGAAGACAGCAGCTGTTATCAGGGCAGGAACAATGCATGAGCATCAGGAGTAATGCAAGCAGCACCCACCCCTGCCTTCCGAAAGCTGTGTGTTACCCCCCGAAGAACAATAATAATTACATTAATTAACAAGTGTCTCCATCTCTAGGAAGTGAAAGCCAGGCAAGTGGCAAGCTCAAGGGCAAACACACACGCTTGAGAGGGATTTTACAAATTCCAGGGGGGTAGGCAGTAAAAACAAATCAATACCTAGCAAGCCAATAATATGCAGAAAGTGTGGCAGAAGGACCAGTAAAATATCTTCAATGGTTCTGGGTCTGGTCCCAAGAGCCCACTGTACACAGGACGACCACTGAGTTCAGCAAGAGCTCTGAGCAGAGATGTGTGGGAGGAGGTCCTTTATTTGCCGCTAGCTTCAGACCAGAGTTACAAAGAGAAGTTGACATGCCCATGTTGTCTCTTCTACCTAGTTCTAATGGGTCCTTTGTGTGTCATTGTTTAGGACCAGGGTGGGACTGACTTGGATTCCAGTGCCTCCTTGTCTACAGCATTCACCAATGCTTCTGTCTGAGAATAAAAGCTGGCTGCCTGGTGGCAACACTCAATCAGAGGAGCCCAGGACCTTCCTACAGCAGTCGCCACTCAGAACCGGCTAATTTCAGGAGACAGAGCAAGGAAGCCAAGCATTTCCCCAAATGGCCACAGAGTTTTCACCTTTATGCCAGGATGTATAAAACTACTTGGGCCACCCACATCAATTATTTTAGATGGCCAGTTTCCTGGCCTCTTCCAACTCCTCAGCTTGTCGGCCCACCACTGGAGGGAGAGGAGTGGGTGCATGCAGTGGCCTGACCACCCGAAGGGCCTGGAGCAATGTCTTGCAGGAGACACTGACTGCTACGTGATGCTCTCGGATTGTGCCTTTGATTCCTGGAAAATCCAAGATGGGCAATGGATCTCTTGGTGAGCAGAGTGAAATAGCAAGGGTCTGCTGAACGCGCCCTGACTGCACAGGAACAGACTGGGCAGGCTTAAAAATTACACACACAGGCACTTGATTTTTAAAGGTCATTTAAAATTAATTCCTCCCTTACTGACTCTGGGTTTTGCCATGCAGCAGCTGAGGTCATCACTAGAACCTGCCACACAGAACCAAGAAGGAATGCACGCTCCTTACCTGGTTGAGATGGCACAGGTGAGACAGAGCCCGGAGGGTCTGGACCTGGGCTCTGGCAGGTAAGTGAAGGACAGATTTTTTTAAAGAGAGTCTAGGATGGGATTTAAGGTCAGGGTGACATAGGAGCACATATCCCATTGACTTTCAATGAGGCAGATGTGGGTGCTTTTCAAAGCCCCACCCATACTTCTGTAGCCTGCACAGGTATGATCTGATATTCAGAGGCATTGAGCATTTACATCAAAAGGGGTGCTGTGGATGCTGCTCAGAACCTCTGAAAATCCAGCTACCAGGGCTCTGCCCTCACGTCCAGCTGTGCAAACCCCAGAGAATCAGGGCAGAAATTTTGACATTCAACAGCATTGTGTATTTGTTCCTAAAAGCATCAGAATTCATCTCTGAGTGGGATCACTCTGTAGGGTGTGGGCCAGTGTCCTCTCTGATATGCAGGGCTTGCCTTTAGTCCAGTAGTTCCTTGAACTGCTCCCTGAAACTGATCAATATGTTGCGTGCCAGACGTTGCTCTCATTGGAGTCCATGGAAAATGCCGATAGACTTCCCAGAGCAGGCTGGATCTATTTGGAGGATACCCACAGAAGTATCAATGTTTTACAGCAGGTAGCCATTAGTGCATGGGGGGAAGGGAGGAAATAGAGAATGTGCTTTGCGCTATAGCATGCATGCTTCCCCACTCTGTGCCCCACACAGCATTGACCAGGAACCTCCTTGGGTCAGAAGGGAGCAGACGTTTGAACCCAAGTTTGCAGGCGCAGGGCCTGTTCTCTGCAGGTGTAATGCCACCGACTCTGGCAGAGGTATGCCAGCAGAGTACTCTGGAGAGCACTGTACCACACAGTGGCCACCCGTTAATTAGCGGGCCCCAGCAGGGGAGAGGATTCCATCTGCTCTGTAGCACTCACAGATGGACAATTCTCCCAGACTGAAGTAGGTTCCTCTGAAACACACACACACTGCCCTTCTGTCACTGAAAGCAGATTCAAACCCCGCCTGCCTTTAGGGAGGCATTTTGGAGACTCAGAACATGGACAAAACACAGCATTTTCCACAAGTAAACTAGTCACTTTGGGGGGGGGGGGATGAGGATGGAAGAATGGGATATTCCACGAATGGATCATTTACACTGCTAGATGTCAACAGGGCAGGCAAAACAATGAAGACATTAACTGATTACTGGGCCTGTCAATCAAATCTTCCCCCTTCCCTTGGATAAGGGCTGTCTACATACTTGCAAAATTTGGACCCAGGATTGTTCACTGGCCTAGCTCCACCAGTAGAGCTAGATGACATGGTGGTTACAAAACCCACACCCCCTGCCTACCCTACAGCTTCTGTCCCCGCCACCCCTCCCGGAGCTGTGCCTGTGGAGATAGCTCCAATTAAAAGTCCTGTTTGCTTCAACCAACCAGTGGCAGTAGGACAGAAAGCCAAGGAAGCAGCAGGAGATGTCAGCCTTGGTGTGGGCAGCCAAACGTGAGCCATATCAACCTTCACGTGTAATAGTGAGGTGAAGCCCATGGAGACTGCAGGTCCCAAGTGACGTTCCACCTTGGTCCAAATGATTGGCAAACCACAAGAGTAGCCCTCAGTTGGGCAACATTTGGGCACTTTTAAGGCAGGATTACCCAAGGTCAGAAGTGTCCCGTGTTTGGGTCTGTCATTGCACGGGGCTTGGGAAAAGATCACACAAGGTTCCATCTCCCTTTTTGCTCAACTTGTTTCCCAGGGAGCATTCTCCTCGATGGTATAAAGACACCCCTCTGTCCACAGCATTCAAGAGGCACAGGAAATGCGCTTCTCCCTGGGGGCTCTGCCACAGGCTGATGGTGCCCCACTGCCTTCATGATACACTAGCCTGCAATTGGCTGCTCAGGTTTAAAGAGGCTGGGAACATAATGGGTGGTGCTCAACTGTCAATTAATGAGTCTGCCCCCATTGTACTTGAAGCTGCAGGTGGAAAATTTGGGTCATTTGTCCCCAACCTTTCTACCTCTACCTTCATGCAATCTAGAATCCGAGCCAGTGGGAACTGCATCTCCTCAGCTGCTTCAGAGAGCCCAAGAGGAGAGGCAGGAGAGAAAGGAAATAGCTAGTGACAGTGAATTGAGATTCTTGAGCTCCTCTGAGCATCAAGAGGAAGGAACCGAGAGTGTTCAAACAGTCATGGGGAAGGGGATGGTTGTGGGGAACAGCCCTGAGTAATGACTGCACAGCTAGCCCAAGGGTGCCATTTGCTGCAATCTGAGGTGATAATGATGGCAGTAAACGGGTTAAATGTGGAAACAGACAGCCCAAGAATAAGCCACCGACTGCTTGTAGCAACCACAATTATCCCTGCATAATCAGCAGAGCGGGTTACAAAATCCTGCATGCTCCTCTTGGAATGGGGCTACTGAACATTCGTGTCTCCCCTCAGGATCTTGCTGACACAGGCAGTGTCTTAGGTAGCCCCATGAAATGTAGGGGCACATCAGAGATAGAGAGGTTCAAGGGTTAAATTTCTTTTAATGGGGTGGAGGGATAGAAGGAGGGGAGAATGCAGACAATGCCAAGGATTAAGTTCACCAAGCTCCAGATCAGGTTCAAGCTGCTTCTCATGAAATCTCCAGTGGGGCGCAGTGTGTTTGTAAAGTCTTTCTTGCTCAAAAAGTTCTCCTCCTTGTATTTTGAACAACAAACGCCAGTAAACTCCAATTACAGGTGTCCGAAACCTGCCTGGCCACCAAACTGCCAGGGTTTTTAGAACAAGCTTCTCTGCAACATTAAGATTTGCTATTTGCAATGTCTGCCCTGGTAGCCAGTCCCAGCAGCTTCCAAGGAAGGGGCAAAAAATCCCAAGTGGGCAATTACGGAAAAACTTGTCCATCTGGGGACTATTTCTTCCTGACCCTCATCATCATTAGTGGCTGGTTCCTGCCCTGAAGCAGGATGGTTTGGTGCCTCTCTCATGTAATTGGTGGATAGTCTCATTATCCTAATCAGTGTCTAATTGTTCTCTGACTCCCCCTAAGTTCTCAGTCTCAGTGATCTCTGGTGGCAAGAAAGGTCACATGATAGTTATGTAGGGCATAAAAATATTTTTTTTAATCAGTTTTACATTTGCTTATGGGGTTTCACTGACTGTCCCCAGCTCTTGGTTATGAAACAAAGTAATTCACTTTTTCCATATGAAGCATTGTTTTGTATCCCTCCATCATGTCTCCTCCTCTCTAAAATTAAACAGTTCCATCTTTTGAGTCTCTCTTTATATGGAATTTCCCTCGTGGCTCTAACTATTTTAGCTGCCTGTCTTCAAAAACCCCTTCGATTTCTTCTGTATCTCTTTTGAGGCAGGGTGACTGGCACTGAACACTGTTTTCCAGGTGAGGGCGTGCTATTGGTTTATACAGTCATTACATGGCATCCTTCCTGTGCCAATACTGGGGCACAGAGTGGAATCTAGACTCTGCTATTCCGCTCTGTCATTGTCTGCTGTATGGTGGTAAGACTGACTGGTCTGCTCTCCCTAGGATGCCCGAATTTCCTCACACCAGCTGCTTTCCACTTGACAGCTTCCCAGGGGAGTTTGTCTCTTGGCATCCAAAGTACATGCCCCAAATTCAACCAGGGCTTTCTTCTAATTCTAGTGGAAATGAGACGTTGGTGAGTAATTTCTCAGATCTCTACATTGGTGGTGAAGTCTTTCCTTCCAACGCTTAGAATTTTTCAGACACTTATTTTCGACAGTGTCTACTTTTCTGTTTAACATTTTGGTAGACTGATTTCTAGAATGCCTTAATACTATGGATAGCACTAGTCTTTACACATCCTGACATTGTGACTGCTGCATATTGAGCAGAGGTTTCTATTGCACTGTCCTCAGTGATGCCCAGGTCTGCTTCCTGAGCAATTATATTTCACTCCACACTCCTCAGTTCAGAGGATTCCTTTCAGTGAGCATTACTTTGCTTCTCTCATTGTGGAATTCCTTCCACCTGTTGTGCTGAACAGTCACCTAGCTTGGTTAGGTCCTTCTGTAGTTCCTCACTCAAATTAGGTTCCTCTTCTCCTGTCTTGACTCATCTAAGCAATGATGGGTTATCCACACATTTTGACACCTCACTACTCACTCCCTTTTCCAGATAATTGATAAATAAATTGAACACTGGCCTGAGGATAGAACTTTGGAGCATCTCACTTAAACTTTTGCCATGTTGGAAAACTGGCCATTTTCCTCTAGCTCTGTTTTCTGTCTTAGTTGCTGATCCACGGCAAAACTTTATTTCTCACCCTATCAGAACATTGGTTTCCTTAATAGCCTCTTGCAACGGATTCTGTCAAAGGATTTTTGAAAGTCCAAATGAATTATGTCTTTCTATTCTCTTTCAGCCACTATTTTGGTGACACATTCATAGAGTTGTAGTAGATTACGGAGGTACAATTTTCTTTTACAAAAGCCATGCTGGTCTGTCGCTATCGTATCATGTTCCTCTAGGTGTACCATAATTCTATTTTTAATTAGAGCTCAACCATGTACCTGGTACTGAACTACAGATTACTGCTCTGTCATTCCCAAAATAATCCCTACTGCTTTTTTAGAGGTAGGACCGAAGGGTAGCAAATCTATTGAATTAAAAACCAGCAGCTGATTTTCATGATAGCAGGTTTTTGTCAGCAGCTCAACCACTTCCTTTAAGTGAATTTTTCTTCTAAAATGGTTGGATGATGCTGCGAAGTCCAGGAGACTTGCTGCTCTTTAGCAGTTTGTTCCAGGACCTCTTTGAAATCTCCATCTCTGACCCCTTGTCCTTATCTGAAAAGAGAAGGCCTGGGACAGGCGTGACCCCTCCTCCTCGGTTGTTTTGACTGATTGTCAGGGTCTGTGGAAGACTGGTACCAATGACTGGGATGTGGGCGGTCTGGCCTGGTGATCACCGCAGTGTTCAGGAACCAAAAGCCAACAGGTATGTCCAGAGTCAGGTGTTGGAGCTGAAAGCTGGAGGCGGGGTCAGACAGGAAACAGGTGCACCAGTGCTGATTCAGAAACCAAAGAGCCATAGCCTCGTCAGAGCCAGAGCAGTCAGTCACCAGGGTGATAGGATTCAGGGACTGGAGCAAGTAGCGGAAATAGGGCAGGGTCAAAGTCAGGAACTGGGGACAAGGCTGGAGTCAGGGTCTGTAGCAGCAAGCCAGGATCCAACCTGTTGCACAGACAACTTCCTGTCTCTCTTTCTAGCTTAAATAGCATACTCAAGAGCTCCTCCCATCAGATACCTCTGGGCAGTAACTTTAGTGGACAGCTCCCAATTCTCCAGTCAGTAGTAGAGCTGTTAGGTGGTACTGTGGATCCAGCAGTGGCCTGAGCGCCTGTGGGCATGGGTTCAGGACTCACGGATCCTCACACTGGTGCAAAGAAATCATTTCGCTTTTCTGCAATGTCCTTAGCCTCCTTAATTGCTCCCTTTACTCCTTGAAAGTAAAGTACATCCTTTTCTACTATGTTATTAGCCTCTCTGATCTCCCTCAGCAGCCTTTTCGTGATCAGAAGGCTGAGTTGGACAAGCCCACTAGTATACTCTTACAGTTTGGGATCTGTCTCTCTACAGATGCTACTGCCCATTCAGAAGTGTTATCATATTTGATTCTCTGGACTCTTTTAGGTTCAGTGTATAGTGCAACTCCCCTACTCCATGACCCCATCTACCCCTTCTTGGCACTGGGTCTAATAATGGAACAGCCTGTTGTTCAGGTTAGCCTAGGTCAGGCAGGGAGTGCTTTATTCTTGGGCAGAAGATAGGGTAAGGGAAGGAGAGCATTAGCACAGCACACAGTACCGGGAAGTCGTTAATTGCTTGTATGGACCAGCGCCGCCGAGCAGAGCGAAGAGACATCTGCGCATGAAAACACTACACCCCAGAGGAGAAAGGAAGAAAGGCACCAAGAAAAAGAAAAGAATAAATAACTAAAATCCAAAAAAGACTGGACCGAGGGAGCAAGGGGCATTGTGGCCTGTAGTTTGTTACTCAACAGTGTTCCATAAAGGGCCATTTCAAATCAAGGTCCAATCGGAAGCATCACCCCTTCCTTCTGCAGTGTGACATTAGCCATAGGTTCTGCAGGGAGGGGACTGCTGTCTCTCGGCCCATCACTGGCTCCTTTGGAGGATCTCAGTTCTCTACAGGCATTAATGAGCTAAGCCTCCCACCTGAGGTGGAGGAATATTATTGTAACTGGCACAAAGAGGTGAAGAGACTTGCTCTAGGTCACACAGCGAGGCAGTGATGCAGTCGAGGACAGAACCAAGATCTCTTGAGTCCCGGCCCTCTAAGCACTAGAAAATGCTTCCTCACTAAGGTGCTGGAAGCATAGAGCTAAGCACCAGCCTGAACACATGACATTTAACATAGCTGGTGCCTGCCATGGCCCCAGAACCCACAACTGTGGCAGACTGTTGGTGTGCTACCTGGAGAGCAGTCAGGGGTGGTGAAAGGGAGATTTTCCTGTGTGTTCACAGGACTACAAAGGCAGACCAAGAATGCTATGGAGAAGGGAGGGATAGCTCAGTGGTTTGAGCATTGGCCTGCTAAACCCAGGGCTGTGAGTTCAATCCTTGAGGGGGCCATTTAGGGATCAGGGCAAAAATTGAGGATTGGCCCTGCTTTGAGCAGGGGGTTGGACTAGACGACCTCTTGAGGTCCCTTCCAACCCTGATATTCTATGATTCTAAGCAGCCCACGTGAGGAACTCACAAAGGATTTCCAGCATGAGAGGGCTGACAGGCCTTGACACTAAAGACGATGCCATTGCTAACAGAGCTCATGAATTCGTGGCTCAGCTGACTCCATAGCAGGGCCGTGCCCAAGCTGAGCAGCGAGCCAGGCTGTTTGCCTTTGGCTGGAGATACTGGGCCAGGTAAGGTAAGGAGCTCTCTCGCAGGCTCCTCAGCCACCCAGCTGCTCACATTGCTCCTCCCTTGGGGCCTGCAGGAACATCGGCCATTGGAACCTGGCACAGTGTTTATGGTAAAATCCCCAAAATGGGGATCTTACAATGGGCCTAAAGATTCCTCTTTTACTTTCAGTCGAATGGCTGGGCCAACGACAGGAGCTACAATTAGAGATGCTGAGAAAAAAATGGCAGACCCAGAAGCTCTGCACTGATTTGATTTCACTGACACCTGATTTACTACAATGCCCTTGTGGGAGCTGCCAAATGGTCCGGTTTCTTTGTGTCTGTGTTCTCTCTCCTTTGAGCCAGCAAGACTGGGGCAGGGGGTAACTAGGAGTAATGGTGAAAGACAAATTTAGTCTATCAGGAAAAGCTCCCTGGCTGTGAGATGTTATAGGCTGTACACTAACCCAGCAAAGGGACGCCCCATTTAATAGTGAAGTGGACCAAAGGACAGGTGAACACATGGTAAGGAGCAGTCCGGCACCAGACCCAGGGACTATGGGGGCAGAGGGGACAGATCGGATCCAGTAAGATTTTCCCTTCCTTCCTTTTTGCATTCAAGTTGGATCAGCATAATCTTGGTCACGTTCACTGACTCGTGTTACACAGTCAAAGTATGCCTTTATAAAAAAAAATTCTAAACACAGACTGTTTCCAGTAGCCTTAAGGATGAACCGTATGCTTCCCGAATAAATACAAAACCTTGATCTGGATTCAAAACCACTTCGAGTACAAATGGGTTGGAGTCAAAAAGAGAAAGGGGACATCTTGCTCATCTCTGCTGTCTGCAATAGCATGCCAAGCCATTTTCAGCCAATAAAGGACACTCAGAGCTGTCAACCATGGTCTGAGCCTCTGATACAACCTGACCCTGTGTCTCATTGCTGGAACATTTCTTCCATCACCACCATCCTCACACAAAGAGCTTTAACAGCCACAAGGCAGTAAACTACACCACCATGAGAGAGTTGTTCATATTCAGCTTGTTGCATGGCTCAGCAAGACAGAGTCACGCTGGGAGGATTCAGAGAAAGGCTTACCAGGAGAACTACCCCTCCTTCGGTTGCAGGCACCTGCAACAACCTTCACAAGAGGAGGAGGAAGGGCCCAGCAGTGAGAAATTAAATATAGTTGAGACAAGCAGAGAAAGAGAATTAAGATTCCCCCACTCTGCTTCACTCAAATAACTTCTACTGAAGGCACCATTGGACGGTCTCATTTATAGTGCCTCAAAGTAGTACTGAGTCTGGCACCTGCCCTTGCTGTACAGATCTCGTGCCAGTGAACGGGCAGCGGCTCTATTCTGGATGATTCCCCTTGGACTGAGATCTCAGTCTTTGGGCTTGTAATGTTCAGATCTGCCAGCCGGGTAGTGTGGATTCTGAAGCTTTGATACCAGCACGTGAGTGCAAAGTAACAAGACCACGGACGTCAGAGAAATCAGGCAAATCCATCCACTGTCCTATTACCATGGAGGGGATGCCATGTTTCTCTCATGGAATGGATTTGGGCAAGAAGCTGATGGTGCTAGTTCCTGAGCCAGGAAAGGAGGCTGTGCTCTGCACATGAGCCTGGAGAGAACTCCCAAACACTTTCTTTTCTTGAAATTACTTAAGTTCCAACCTCGTAGAGAAAACCATGAGGATGGAGCCCATCCAAGTCAATGGCGCTGTGCAGTTCTTTGCAGGATCAGGACCTTGATTTGTAAACTCCTTAGGGTAGCCCCTGCCTTTTACTACATGTTTACACAGTGCTGGGTGCTCTGAGTCCCAGAGGCCTTTGGGTACTAGTATTATACAAACGAAACAATAGAAAATTACAACTCTCCATTGACACTAATCGTATTGCTGTTGGCTGGTGAAACTTCTACTAGAAACCCAACTTTTCCTTCTTCCTGGCTAACAATTGTGAGTCACTTTTTTAGGGGTTGAGGGTGGTGGGGAGGGGCGGCACATTAATTCTCAGAGACCCATTTTCAGTTTTCATTTAGAGATCTCAGTAGCTTAGCTGCCTCTCCAGGAACACTAGAGTATATTCTGTGTTCAGCAATGTTGATCAATGTTTGTTGATTCCAGCCATCCCTTTGGTAGTGACTGCTATGGATATGGCCGCAGAGGTATTTGCAATTTAAATACCTAGTTATCTTTCTGGAGTATTCATTTTTTTTGACTGAAATTTAACTTGGCTGGTCTCTGCTAGAAGGGGATTTTGTTTTACATCCAGGGAAGATAAAATTGATTTTTTTAAACAAAAGCAGTTTTTATTTAAATTGGATTTTTTTTATTTTGTTGTTTAAATACATTCAGAATTCATTCCATTCAGATTTTATTAACTCAAAATATGTTAAGGCCTAAATTTAGTCATAATCTCTTAAAACACTTAAATAAAAAAAATCAAAAGGCTGCTTTTCTATATGAAAGAAAGAACCAGGAGAAAAACATTTAACTTTTGAGGTCAAACTTTATAAATATGGCACAAATCAGGCTAAGTAATTTAGGAGACACTCTCATTTTCAAGAGAATAGGGGAAGACTAGGAATGTAGGACAAGGACTAGGTCACTTTCACTGAGGCATATCTAAAAATGTTCCCAGGCTGACCTGAAATAATCAGTTTAATTAACTGACTACAGTCAAATCCTCTGTTTAATCATTTAGTTGTAAATGTGAAACGTGTTTTGGTCAGAGAAGTTTATTTGTCCAAAACATTTAAGTTTGCTTTGCTAAATAAAAAGAAATTGTATTTGCTGTTTCGTGTTTAATTCCTAGTTACCATCCTAATGCACCTTGATATAGTTCATGAGCAAAATGTTCATTATCTAGTAAATAAGCAATATCTCATTCACCATTTTCTAATATACTAAAAATCTACAATTAATAAGCATCTGAAAATATTAAGCTATCATTGCTTAAATAAGTCTATATAGTTATAGTGAATCCTTCCAGGAAGCAAACAGATGTACCAAACCTAGTGAAAAGTCTCTATTTAGTTGTAAATGAACATGTTTTAATGGTTATATCAACCAAAGAGAAAGCACCTTTCTTCAGAAAATAACCAAGTACAAATGGAAAAGTTGATAAAAATCAATTATTTAAATTCAGGCTTTCCACTTGGTGATTTAAATTGATGGTTTAAATGGCCCATTTACATTTGTATTAAAACCAATCGATCCTCCAGAGCAAGGAGTTGACAAGATCCAGATTTTTTTTTCCTAACCCTAAAATTTAATGATTCAAAAAACCCAAACCATTAATATAACAGGAAGGCTGCAAGATCAAACTCTGAGAAGTCAGAAAATCTCATTCCATGACTCCTCTGCCTACAGACAAATATCTGTGACTTTTTCACCTGCAGCAACATTGTGTGCGGTTCTTACTTTCTTGCCCTGCTCTTAGAGTAGCCTGGACAAAGGAAAGCCTGCAGGGCTGGGAGAGGAGGACATATGAGTCTATCTGTATTTCACCCAACACAACAACACACGTGCTTGGTTGTGTAGGTTTTTCCTGGACATATTAAGGTCGTGTCACCATCAGTTCATGGGCTGGAGAGGCAGGTCCCATAAAAATAACACCCACATGCTTATGTGCACATTTTTACACTAGCCTGGCATGTTAGCAAGGTGTGTGTCAGGGACAAGCATACTACAGAGGACAGAGGGAGAAGCTCTTCAAATAGACTCTCATGTGAAGGCGGGGATAGGCTTGGAATGCTAATGATCAGGCAGCAACACAGCAGTGCCCACTGAAAGGAAGTTTGAGTAGAATATGGGCAGAACAATAAGGGTGTGTCTTCACTACCTGCTGAATCGGCAGGCAGTGATCGATCCAGCAGGGATCGATTTATGGCACCTAGTCTAGACACGATAAATCGATCCCCGCGCGCTCTCCCGTCGACTCTCTACTCCAGCGCCGCGAGAGGTGCAGGCAGAGTCGATGGGGGGAGCGGCAGCTGTCGACTCACCATGGTGAAGACACCACGGTGAGTTGATCTAAGTACGTTGACTTCAGCTACGTTATTCACGTAGCTGAAGTTGCGTAACTTAGAGTGATCCCCCCCCAGTGTAGACCAGGGCTAAGAGAGCCTACTGGGGTCTATATGGAGGCAGGGCTTTTGATGAGGAGAGGTCCCCCCAGAGGCTCCGCCCATGGCTGAACGTTCTATTGCCTATCAGTTGAGCATAATACAGACCCAAAGTGGTGACTGCTGGACATTCTGTCCATGAGGAAATACAATTAAAGCAGGCTGCTGGAAAATCAGTTCCTGTTTTGCTGCCCTGCCAGGACAAGAGGCCAATACTAACTCCCCAGGCCAACAGTGAGGAAAACTCAGGCTCTTAAGCATCTCTTTGTCCTGCTTTAGGCATCTGGGAAGCCATCCACTGCTGCAGGAGAAACTCCATACCTGAGCACAGGCCTTGGGCCATTTACTTTGGAAGTCTGGAATGTTAAGGCATTCTGTGAATAAGCTTATACGGTTCTTTGAATTCTTTGTTTCAAGCATGTCAGTTCACCCTGGAACAGGCTGCAAGGCTGGTTACTCACACAACACCTGCACAATAGGCCCCTCTGGACCTGCCACCAAATTGCTCTTTTAGAACTTCTTGCAGCCTCACTTATTCAGCCCTTCTTCCCCCAGTGTAACAGGACACAATGGTGAGAAAACATGCCACTACTCCCAAAGGGTTTCCTGAGTCAGGACTAGCCCACTCTGCAATGGTAACAGGTGCACTTAACCTATCCAGCTGGGCCAGGGACGTCTTGTCACAGTCTGTGTGTACAGCAGTTAGCAAGATGGGCCACCATCGCCAACTGGGGCATCTAGGTGTGACCACTGACAACCCCATCTAGAAATGGAGGCAGCTCCCCCTGGAGTTCCTCAGTGAGCCAGTACCAGAGGCCTGGTTCTTTACCCTGGAGCATGTCAGGGAAAGCAGACACAGGCCAACTGGTTATGGAGATCCTCACTCCGGAGGCTCTAGAGCAGTCCCCATTTGTTCTGCAACCTCCACAGACATTGCTCGTAGGAGCTCTGCGTTCAGCAGCACAGGGAGCACCTTGGTTATGTTAGGCCTACCTCTGCAAGGGAATCAGTCCAACTAACAGCAAGTTCAGAGGGAAGCTGAAATAAATGGGCCAGTCAAAACAGAGGAGTGATCAATGGACAGAGAAACAACACAAAGGAGCCAAGCCACGGTGACTTTTCACCAGAGCGGCTCATAAGGGAACGCGTCCCTAGTAGAATGAAGAAGCTCCTTGGGCACTAATGTATGTGGTTAAGGGCAGTGATGCTAACGGGCTAGAGAGAAGGAAAGCAGGTTGTTACAGGCATTGGGAAAGGTTTCCTGGCCAGGCCCTTACCCTCTCCTTGTAGTAGAAGGAGCTGATGGAGACCTGCTCCTTCTCACTGCGGGTGGGACTCCCACTGTACAAGCGCAGATTGCCTGGGGTTTCCGTACGGATCTTCATCGGCGTGATCAGGCCACTATGATAGGCCGATAAAGCCGACAGAGATCTGCCAAAGAAGAGAACAAGCTTTCAGTAACTTACCCTTGGCAAACCACCATGGGAGTTCCAGCTACAGCATGTCACTAGCCTGGCACCACTGTTATTTCTGGCATGTATTAACATGGGAAAGCTCAGCTGAAGCAAGCAGCCAGCATCTCTGACTTCTTATACTTCCTGAGACCAAGGCACTAGCAACTGGACTTACTGAAAACCAGTGGCTCAGCAGCTGCTGTCCTCCCAGCCTCTAGCCCCTAGCTCTAGTCACTGGCAAATCCATTCATAGAATCATAGAATATCAGGGTTGGAAGGAACCTCAGGAGGTCATCCAGTCCAATCCTCTGCTCAAAGCAGGACCAACCCCAGCTAAATCATCCCAGCCACTGCTTTGTCCAGCCTGACCTTAAAAACCTATAAAGGAAGGAGATTCCACCACCTCCCTACGTAACCCATTCCATTCACCAGTGTAATATAGGGGGATTTTGCAGGCTTTGCTGAAATGCGTGACTTTGTGTTCACCTGGGAGTAGGTTCTGTAGGAGAGACTGCACGGTGCATTGTCATGGGTCTTGTAAAATATACCAGGTAACCTGTGGAGACAGGACATAAAACCACATTCAGCACAGATAGGATTTGAACTTTCGCAGCCCTTTCCCCTGCCCAAAGGGGTAGCTTTCACAGTGATGCCTGTGAATTTAAGGCACACAAACCCCACCAACAGTAATGAGGCATGTGGCGGGATGCCCACAAACCAGCCCAGCCCCTCTCCCCTCAGCTCATCCTGGTCTGTAAATGCCATCTAGACAATCTGATTTTTCTCAAGCCAAATCTACTTCCCTGAACCCATCAAAATAAAGAGCCCAGCTATGTCAGAGCTTTTCAATTCATCAGCTCCTCACAGCTGGCTCCGAGGAGAGGAGGAGAAGGAGAAGCCCTGTCCTTGAGCTGTAACTCTGCACTGTCATTTGTCAAGCACTTGGATACTCCAGTGATGATAAATAACTAGACAGAGAGGAGCTGCTCTCACTGTTCAGACTCGCAGTGTAGCCCAGCACAAGATGAAGAGAGAGGTGGTACATATGAAGTACCTGTAAGTCTACACCCATTTGGTAGTGCCCCAACAACCTTCTTCAGCCCAGTATGCCCTGCCCGCCGGCATGGCACAGCAGGCTTAGCAGATCCAAGCTGCCTTGACTAACCTGCTTCACTTTGTCAGGTGAAACGAGTGTGGCTGTGTTACATTGTACTACCCCGGCACACGAGACTTTCAAACCGGAATGCAGGGAGAGTCACTCCTGCATCTAAAGCAACTTTCCACAATTCAAGAGCTTTTAAACAGACCCTAATCTGCCCCTTGAGAAGGTCACTACCTGGCACACGCCCTCCTGGAAAGATAGTTATTAATGACTGTGCCCTCACTTCCCACGAGGGCTGGGCAACAGGAGTTACTAATGGACAGGCTTCCAGCTGGCATGCTGGGAGCTTACTGCTGGGAACGAAGGTACCAGTGTGCAAGGGTTCAACCTGGAGGGAGGGAAGGGCAGCTCTCCCACCAGCCCCAGTCACAGGAGGTAGGTAACAAGAGGGTCAAGGAGCCATGTGCAGCAGTTTGCCGTGGGGAGGAGCCAGCATGCTGTGCCACAGACGGGAAGGCATGCAGATGCCAACCTGCTCCTGGAGAGGGGGTTATGTTCATGCCCAAGACACTACCAGAACCCCCCTATCTCTGACAGGCAGCAGCACCTCCAGCCCAGCAGGTGGCTCTAGATATTTTCAGCTCTTCTTTGTCTCCCAGTTTCACACACCAAACACCGCTCACAAGGTGGCCTGAGAGCAGCTGCGAACTAGTGCGATTCCTACAGAACGGACAGCCCTGGCTGTCTAACCTCGCCCCCTATCAGCTGGGGGGCCAGCGACCAAAGCCTGCCTTTGCTCCAGGGTGAGTGCCCACTGTCCGGGGGATCTCCAGCAGGCAGATCAGCTGACTGATCCCTTGGTGGATGGCTCTAAACCAGCCGTCAGACCAACCTGCGCCACAGAACCTGGCTCCAGAGGTCCGTGGAAATGGGATGTTGGAATCCTGGTAGGAGCCGTAGGCATTAGAGACCCGGGCGAAGGTGGGCAATGGCGGTGTTACGGTGTTCGTCAGAGCATAGGGGTTGCTGGAGGTGCTGTCGTCCTGGTTCTGGAACAGAAGTTACCCAAGATCACGCTGCGAGTCTTGGAGGAAAGCTCTCCCCACAGACAGGACGCCCAGCTGGCCTGACGACTCGGCAGCAGCCCAGGGCACTGCAACAAAGGCTGGCTCCAGGGCAACCTCGTGTCCTGCGACCCCGAAGAGGTCGAGCACATGGAGTGGTTTCTGCTCTGTGGTGGGTGTGTTCACTGCATGAGCTCCTTCTCCTCCCCAGCTCACAGAGCCTTTGAGGAGTTGCTGACCCACCTTCCTTTGGTTTCATGGCTACCTTGAGCAAGGAAGTGGAGGTTAAGAGCTCAAAAACCCAACGGTCTCTGAGACAAGAAGGCACAGAGGGTTTGGCCTTCAGACTCTGGACTCCTCTGTTATAGCAAAATGTAACATAGCAGGGTGCTGGCTTAGCTAAGTGTCCCAGGCACCACACTGCTACACAACTCAACACGACCAACGTCTCTTTATGGGGGACCACCACCGGAACAGCAGGCGTGTCGCAGCTCAGGCCTGAGGGGCACTGGCAGAGCTGGGGGTGGGGTGGGGCAGGAGTGGAACGGCGGGGGGCTGCAAGTCAGGCCAGAGGGGCACCGGCAGAGCTGGGGATGGGTGAGGGCAGGAGTGGAACGGCGGGGGGCTGCAGGTCAGGCCAGAGGGGCACCGGCAGAGCTGGGGGTAGGGTGAGGGGAGGGCAGGAATTGAATGGCAGGGGGCTGCAGGTCAGAGCTCTGTGTGTATGGGGTGGAGGTTGGTGCAGGAATGGGATAGGGGGCTGCTGCAGATGAGGACTGATATAATTTGTTCTAGATGGTGGTGTCCAGCCCAAGCCACATAGGACACAAACAAGTAAATAAAACCCAAATTTGATTAAACCCAAGAAGGAACCCCCAAGCTTCCCTGGGGACTAAAACTTGCTCCCAGCATTGCAATGTAGACAAACCAAGGGTCTCAGACAAACGTGCCTTGGCCGAGACAAGGGGGGCAGCACCTGGCACGAGGCCAGCCTGCCTGTAATGACGTCCCTAGGAAACGGGAGGGCATGGGCTCAGCACAGACCATGCTTAGCTCAAATCCACCTCACTAGCTTTGTTTAAAGAAAAAAACGTAGGTCCCTTGAAGAAGGGTGGAAGGCTCTTTCGGTCAAAGCCCAGCCTACACTGCTCTTCCCATGTCCTGATGTCGGGAAGCCACCAGCCCAAGCAAGAGTTAATATTTCAACTCTCTATAGCTTCTCCTGCGTGGCAATTTCCCAGAGCCAGCTCTCCCTCCACAACCAGCACCCCCCACGCCAGGCCCCCCAGTGACACCTACTGTAGGAAGGAGAGTAGCTGTAAGTTCCCCCACAGCCAGTGATGAGCAGCCAAAATCTTAACAACCGGTTCCCTCCTTACCCCACAAGGGGGTCGTGGCCCACCCCCGCCCCCCGGGACTCCTGCCCAATCCAACCCCCTCCCCTGACTTCCCCCAGAACCGGGCAGGAGGGTCTCGTGGGCCACTGTAGTGGGTGCCCACCCCGTCCCTAAGAGCCAGAGGGACCTGCTTGCGGGGGAGGTGGGGAGTCCCGGAGGTCCTTACTTGGGACAGCTCCCAGGAAGCATCCAGCAGGTCCCTCTGGCTCCTAGGGATGGGGTAGCGTAGCTGCGGGGGGAGCAAGGGGAGCGGCCGCTCCCGCCACTGATCACATCAAAAGTGGTGCCTTAGGCACCAACTCCATGGGTGCTCTGGGGCTGGAGAAGCAGAACGAGGAGGAGGCGGCGGAGGCGGAGCAGAGGTGAGCTGGGGTGCTCCCCGCCCCATGCCCAGCCCCAGCTCACCTCCGCTCTGCCTCCTCCCACCTCTGCTTCTCCACCCCCGGCTTCCCGCGAATCAGCTGTTCATGCGTGAAGCCTGGGAGGGCTGAGAAGCAAGCGGCGGTTTCGCGCTCAGGCCCAGGGAGGCAGAGGCGGAGGCAAACTGGGGCGGGGAGCAGTTCCCCTGCGTCTACGCCCCCCGGGTTACCTGCTGCGGTGCGGGCGGACCTCCTTGCGCCCCCGCCCCCAGCTCACCTCCACTCCGCCTCCGCCTCCCTGGGCCTGAGTATGAAGCCCTTTTAGAACCAGTTGTCCTGAAGCCCTTTTAGAACCGGTTATCTGACAACCGGTTCTAAAAGGGCTTCTAAATGTAACAACCAGTTCCAGCAAACCAGCTCCAGCTCACCACTGCCCACGGATAGACCTCCTCCACACTTTCCTGCAGCGACCGCTGCTGGCACAGGCTGGGAGTACAAAGCCAAGGAGACACTTGAAACTTCTGAACTCAGGGAGCAACAAACCCTCAAGGGTCTGATTTTGAGAACTGCGTGCATTCAATCACATGCTCAGTTTTCCCTCCCCCCACCCCATTTACCAGACATCTACACAGGCAGAGTCTCAGAGCTCACCAATGGCAAGCGGGGTTTCTGACAAGGCTGGGAGCTCTGCAAAGGCAGAAGGTGTAGGGAGAGGAGAAAAGCAGGAAAAGTGTGCAATCCTTCCTACCACAACAGACTCCAGGTAGGAGACCAGCTGACGCAGGCAAGGCTCCAGGCAGCTCTGGTTCCGCTTCACCTTCTGCAGGGAAGTGTCATTCAAAATCTGGAACAGGCACAAGATGCAACTTGGGTCATCTTACCCATAACCACACCTCCCCACCAGCTCTTCATCTGCAAAGCAGCTGAGCTGCTAGAGTCCATACTGAGAGTCTGGAGGCCCAGGGAAGACCTCCCGGAGCCCTCAGTACAGGCAAACTGACCTGTGCTCTGCTTTGAGAAGGACTGTCATGTTAAGGCACAACACCGGCTGTCAGATCACTGGAGTCGGTTACTGGCTCGGCCACGGATGCACTGTGTATCCTTGGCTAAGTCACAGCTATTCTGTGCTTATTTTCCTAACCATAAAGCAAGGGGGGATATTGACCCACCACCTAGTGGTGACAAAGATTACATCAGCTCATGCTGCAGACCCCTGCAACAAAGGTGCTACAGAAACACACCATGCTATTCATTGGGGCAGAGACCATCAGAGCAGAGACCATCTTTTTGCTCTGGGTTTGTACAGTGCCTAGTGCAGTGCGGTCCAGCTCCAGGAGAGGCGCTCCTACGTGCTAATGCAATTCTAATAATAAAAACATGGCTGGGAGGCTCAGGTTCAACTCCTGGTTCTGCTGCAGATCTACTGCCTCCCAGGGGGGTGCAAGGATAAGTCCAGTAAGGCACTGAGGTGGTCAGATACTACACTGATTGGGAACAGAGAAGTACTTAAGACAGACAGACAGACGTTAACAAGCCCGGGAATCCTTTAAATCTTACTGCTCTAAGCCTCCCCCTTGACAATAACTGCTTGTCCCTAGTTTGCCCCCTCCACTCTGCAAACACGGATTATTCCCCTAGTGGGGCTTTAAACACTGGCTGCAGACCACACTGCCATGGGCCGACAGCATCCCTGGTGTAAGCCCAATGAAGTCAATGATGCACTTGCACCAGGGATGCATCTAGATCACGAAAAGAAAAGGAGTACTTGTGGCACCTTAGAGACTAACCAATTTATTTGAGCATGAGCTTTCGTGAGCTACAGCTCACTTCATCACTACATCTGATGAAGTGAGCTGTAGCTCACGAAAGCTCATGCTCAAATAAATTGGTTAGTCTCTAAGGTGCCACAAGTACTCCTTTTCTTTTTGCGAATACAGACTAACACGGCTGTTCCTCTGAAATCTAGATCACGGTTTTTCTCTAGGTCCTAAAGGGGTATTTTTATCTAGGACCTTGCCCTCCTCACTTTGTCACAAAGGTCTGGGAGATCTAGGCCAAGGTTGGCATGTTTAAGATCTGCTCTTAGTACTGGGCCCCCCCGTGACGGTGCCCCCCATAAGACTTTATGGAAATATGCTTATGAATGTATATATGACATAACTGGAATATGTTTTATGCTACATATGCCATGTAACCCATCTCTGAGCTTTGAGCAGGGCATTGGACTAGATGACCTCTTGAGGTCCCTTCCAACCCTGATATTCTATGATTCTGTAAAGGCTATGATCTACTGAATCTATTCATCCTATTTGTATGCGTGTGTCATCATTGTATTCGAAGTTATGAATACTGGCTGTAACCTTAGTAAGGCATTTGGTCAGCTTCTTTAGAAAGGAATTTGCAAGTTAAGTGCCCAATCAGGAAGCACTTAACCGATCTTGTAAGGCTCCAATCCACATAAGAAGTCTACACGAGGACGTTCAAGGTAGCATGTGGACAATGGCTGCTGCCTGTAAAAACTGAGTCATGCATGGACATGTGACTTGCCCATGTGACTCCAAAACTCCATCTTGGAGCTGGACTTTGCATAGGAGAGAGGAGGGGGTCTCCACCCACAAGAGAAAATCTATTTAACCCCCTAGGAGTTAAATCTATTTAAACCCCTCCATTTGGTCTTCAGCTGGCTAAAGAGATAGCCTCTCCACCTCCAAAGATACTGAAAGCTTTATACAGGGTAAAATGGATTTATTTGGGGTTTGGACCCCATTGGGAGTTGAGCATCTGAGTGTTAAAGATAGGAACACTTCCCAAGCTGCTTTCAATTAAGCCTACAGCTGTTAGGGACGTGGTTCAGACCCGGGTCTGGGTTTGCAACAGGCTAGCAGGTCTGGCTCAAACCAGGCAGGGCGCACACATATATCCCTACCTTCAGCAGCTTTGCCTTCATTGTGGAGCTGATAGTGGTAGTGGGGGCAAACTGGAAGGAGGGTGCAGCATTATTGGGATACTGCACCGGGAACATCACCCGCATCTTGACTCTCTGGTTCCCACAGTGCACAGACACTGTGCAGCTGCGATTCACTGCGTCCATCTGAGAAAGGAAAAGAAACCACTTCTGACTCAGACCTCCCAGGGCCTTTAGCCATATTGTGGCTGAAATCCGCCACAAGGGGCTGGTCCCTCTGCAGAGGCCCCACCAGGCTGCAATGCACACTGTGCACAGGGGCTGCAAACACAGAGATAGCAGAAACTCCAGACACAAATGGGGGACTGGCTCAGCACTTCCCAGCTTTGCACCGAGACTGCAGGGAGATAGCCCACTCTGCACTGGAAGCTGCAGGCAAGAATTGGGAGAATCCATTCTTAATATGGCCTTCTCAGTCCATCCCATGTCACTGGGCAGCTCCTCGTTTAGTGGGTTAACCCTATGCACCCCCTCTGGAGAGCCTGGCCCTTTGGCTCCAAGAGGGCAACAGGAGCACCTGCCAGACAAACCCTGTAACCACCACCTACCAAGTCAGCTGCTCCAGAGCTCTCCCCTAAGCCACACAGTTCTGCCTCCTCCTGGCAGGCACCATACACAAACAGGAGCTTGCTGTGTAAGGGAGAGTCCAATTCCCAAGAGGCAGTGTGGCCTAATGGCTAGGGCATGGAGCTGGACTCGGGACACCTGGGCTCTACTCCTGATTCTGCCACTGACCTGATATGAGACACTCTGCACCTCAGTTTCCCTTCTGGCCCTTTGTCTTGTTTATTAAGATGATAAGCTCTTTGGGATAAGGGCTGTCTTTCATTAGATGCACACATACAGCACCTTGCACAATGGGGCCCTGATCTCTGTTGGAGCCTCCAGGCTCCACTATAATGCAAGTAATGATGATGCTGGGCTCTGGGGCTCACCCAGCGCAGTGCACCTGGCCTGCTAGGTAGGAGAAAGGGACCCCAAGGCTCTCCCTGGCTGCTTCCAGAACCACCAGCTGTGGAATGGGAGAGGTGGGGCAGAAGGAGCTCCAGGGCTCCCCACCTTCCTCCTCATTAGGAGCCCCCAATCATAGGTTTTAAACTTGAGTTCAGGCCAGCGCTCACGCCACACGCTTACAAAACATCACAAGGGGCAACACTGACTCCTAGCAAAAGAATGAGCTCCCAGAGCACTTTCAGGGCTTCAGCCCCTGGCCACCCCCAGGGGCATAAGCCATTCGGAATCACCCCATCACCCCACCTGAGATCCAGCCACTGCCCCGCCAGAGAACGTCAGCACTGGGGAACTTTTTACAGTGGCTTCCTTCCAGGAGAGATTTCCCCAGTCTGCCACTTACCAGCTACAGCAAGACTGTAGCTGTGGCCTGGGAAATACCTCCCCACCCCTCCGCCACCCTGTGCATCTGTGGCCTAGAAATACCTGCACCTCCCACTCCCTGTACCCGTGACTTGGGATTATCCTACCACTGGCCTGGGGAACGTCCTGCATCCATAGTCCAACTTAAAGCAATCAGCCTTGTAGTGCTTGGAGAGGGTCCCCAGCGCAAGATACTAGGCAATCCAGTCCTGCCCGCGTCCCCTGCTGTCAGCGGGAGGAAATTCTCCCTCTACCTCCACATTGACGTTACGGATCTGCACGTTGATAAGGGAAAACTCCTGCTGCAGTGTCTGCGGCAGCCCCAGCTGGTCCGATTTTCTTCCCACCAGGTCCGATTTTCTTCCCACCAGGAGGTCGTTCTGGAAATCTTCCTTTAAAGCTGGCAGGAGAAAAGAAAAACAAACAGGCTGAGGCAGGCTGTGAAAGAGAAGCTTCAGGGGAATCGCCAATCTCCCAGTGCGCAAGGTGCCCACAGCAACAGGCACACACCATCAAAGAGCATGTGACCATGGGTACCACTCAGCTGTCTGGGAGTGGGCCCAGCCCTTGGGCCAGACAGACAACAGTTTCTGAAGCCAGCAGGAAGAACCGCAGGCTGGATGGAGCCCTGGAGAGCCCATCATTTGCAAATCATGGCCTGCTGCCTGCTTCTTTCCAGGTGGCGTTTAAGGCTTGGTTTTAATCTACAAAGGCCTAACTGGCTTGAGCCCTGCCTACTCAAGAGAGACCCTCCCATGCGATATTACCAGAGCAGAGGACAGAAGAACTGTAGCTCCTGGCTCCCAGCAAGGGCTCTGCGCTTTGGAATTCACCCCCGCACCTGCTCCAAGTGACCCCAAGTCTGATGGCTTTAGGACATCCTGTAAAGCCATCAAATGAGTCAGGCTCTCAAGCAGGGAGGGGTGCAGTGAAAGCCAGGGTTCATTTGCTTCCCTGGCTTTGGGAGGCTGCTGGGTTTACTATTACTTGTGCTAATCATTTGCACTTTTAATGTGGCAAAGGGGTCTAGAATTCTGGCAAGGCGAATTCCAAGCCAAGGTGCAGTGTGCACATCTAAATGCATACATCTAGCTGCCAGGTCTACTGCTCACGTGGCCTGTCTGACAGCTAAAGCATGCAAACAGAAGGAAGATTCCCTTCTCCTGAGCTGGGGCCTCCTGCCTCTCCCCATTTACAAAAGGATGGCGCTAGCTTGGCCACCATTCTGAGACAGCCAATCCCCACAGCAGGCAGCCACAGAGAGCAGGCTTTTAGAAAGGAGATGGGCTCTTACACCTCACCCATTCTCCCAGGAGGAGTGTGGGCTATACACCTGTAAGCAGTTTCTCTTTGAAGTTTGTTTCTGAAGTTTTTTTGTTTAAGTATGGCTACTTTTAAATCTGTTATAGAATGTCCAGGAAGACTGAAGTGTTTTCCTACTGGCTTTTGTATGTTACCATTCCTGATGTCCCATTTGTGTCCATTTATTCTTTTATGTAGAGACTGTCCGGTTTGGCCAATGTATACAGCAGAGGGTAATTGCTGGCACATGATGGCATATACAACATTAATAGATGTGCAGGTAAATGAGTCCCTGATGGTGTGGCTGATGTGGTTGGGTCCTCTGATGGTGTCGCTAGAGTAGATATGGAGACAGAGTAGGCAACGAGGAACCAATCTGTTACAAACCTTGTTGCCTACTCTGTCCCCATATCTACTCTAAAAGAAAAGGAGTACTTGTGGCACCTTAGAGACTAACAAATTTATTTGAGCATAAGCTTTCGTGAGCTACAGCTCAAATATGCTTAGGCTCAAATAAACTAGTTAGTCTCTAAGGTGCCACAAGTACTCCTTTTCTTTTTGCAAATACAGACTAACACGGCTGCTACTCTGAAACATATCTACTCTAGCGACACAAAAAAATCCAGCCCTCATGGCTGCAAAGGAAAGCTTAAAAACTTGAATCAAATGGATGCAATGGAGCAATTTTGACAGGGTGAACGTATCCTATGCCCAGCTGGGCAGCAAAAGGGTTAACTCTCAGTTGTGGGGAGAGACAAGAGAGCACATTCTGCCCCATAAGAGCACATGAGCTGCCAGGTCAGAAGGAGAGAGCCATGGCCATGGCTCATTAAGGGTGCTCTAGACTAGGATAAGAGGTGCTGTATTTCATAGAATCATAGAACCAGAAGGGACCTCGAGAGGTTATCTAGTTCAGTCCCCTGCACTCATGGCTGACCATCCCTGACAGGTGTTTGTCCAACCTGCTCTTAAAAATCCCCAATGACGGAGATTCTACAACCTCCCTAGGAAATTTATTTCAGTGCTTAACCACCCTGACAGTTAGGAAGTTTTTCCTAATGTCCAACCTAAAACAGCCTTGCTGCAATTTAAGCCCACTGCTTCTTGTCCTGTCCTGAGAGGTGAAGAACAACAATTTTTCTCCCTCCTCCTTTTAACAACCTAAGAAAACACTGACAATGGCTCGGTAGTTGGTGTACCAAGCCACTGCCCATCACGCTGACCAACTTCCTTGGACTCCCCATCTGTCTGCATCCACCTGCTGTCTCCGGTCTTACACTTCAATTGTAAGCTCTATGGGGCAGGAACCATCTTTCTAGGTCTGCCTTTGCCCAGGCCTGGCATGATGGGGCCATGATCCATGCCCAAGACTCTGAGGCAATACTGTCATGCAAATCAATGCTACTAACAATAGAGACAAGGAACCAGTTTGCTTTTCGGGTGTTTTTTCCTTCCACAGGTGGATGACCATTTCTTGGCAGGGTCACGTTGAACCCTTCCACAAGGGACAGTTAAGCAGGCATGCGTCAGTCTCTTACTCAGAGCACAAACAACCACTGGCTTAGAGATGACCTCCAAAAGGTTTTCATTTCAAACAGCAAAAGAACTTCTCTCACCTTCTTCATCTGCATGCCCGGAGCTTTGCTGGGGTTCAGAGTCCTGGGTGTGGAGGGTCTTATCCGGCTCAGGCAGGAGGGCAATCCCATCAATGAGTTCGTCAACCCCTTCCAAGATATCGTTAGCACACAGCTGAAAAGAACAAGCACACCCATGTGCTGTGTCACAGGGATCAAACAAAGGCAGCCCAAAATACATGAGGAACGATAGAGCAGCTCATCTCTCCAGGGAGCTTAAATTAGCCAGGTGGGCGTATGCGCAACAGCCACATCTCAAAGACCATGGCACTGCTTTCCTGACGGCACCCTGTGACAAAAGGCATGGCTTTTCATCAGAGAAGAGGCCTGGCCTTTGTCACCCAGCCTGCTCGACCACATCTCCCCTCATCACTTGCAAACGTGGCTCTGTGTGCATGTCCATGTAGCAAGCAGGGGGATATATTAACCAATGGTTAGCCAAGTTTTATTCTAAAATAAAGGAGATTTGACTTTTCTAATACCATCCCATGACAAACTGATCAGTACAAGAATATCACGTGCCATGACTTGCTTTGCTTTTTAAAGCCAGTACTAGGATTTTTGCCATTGTTATTTACACTATGGTCAGGACTAGCACCCCAAATTAAGGGCCACAACCCAACTGGGCTGGGCAACGCCCAGACAAATAGACAACAGGCCCAGAGAACTCACAGCCTGGATTTACAAGACACAGGAGAGGGTGAACAGTCAAATGTGGGGAGGCAGAAGGACACAGTAACGACCAAAACAAGCGCGCTGACACAGCAAACTACCAGCCTTACTCATGGGCATCTCCCTGGGATACAAACGATGAATCTGGACATAGGAGAAAACTAATACAAATCATGCAAAACTGCTTGACAAGAGACCAAACCAGGACTACTGCTAACGAGTGACGGGACACAGTGTGATCTGGCTGGAGGCGATGGGTCGAAGAGCTGCTACTCTCGCAAGTCAGAAAGCAAGGGAGGCCAGCTGGGACCAAGGTCTCCATCAGAGCTTTGCACGCCAGAAGAGAGTGCACGTATTCTCAGACTTGACTCCCTAGGAGAGTTGGGTTCCTGCAGCACTGAGTCATCTGTACCCAAGTATGCGGAGGTCTGCAGAGGCAATGCCTGCTGGAGAGTTTTAGATTCTGCAGTTATCTTGGGGCAGCTGGTAACCCTTCCCACTGATACTGGACAACACACTTCATAGTGCACCTGCACTTACAGCAGGGCTCAGGTGTTGGGAATAATCATTTGAGTGACAAAACAGCCTTGCTGTTCCTGTGAAGCCTTCGAGGTTCTGTATGTCCAGTGGAAAACCTCCTGCCTAGCAGACATTTGTCCAGAGCACAGTGCAGCCTGCTGTACATTACAGGTCAGACCATCATAGGGCCTAATCACATCAACCACACTATCACCTGTACATCTACCAATGTGCTATATGCCATCATGTGCCAGCCATGCCCCTCTGCCATTTACATTGGCCAAACTGGACAGTCTCTACGTAAAAGAATAAATGGACACAAATCAGATGTCAATAATTATAACATTCATAAACCAGTCGGAGATCACTTCAATCTTTCTGGTCACTCGATTACAGACCTAAAAGTGGCAATTCTTCAACAAAAAAACCTTCAAAAACAGACTCCAACGAGAGACTGCTGAATTGGAATTAATTTGCAAACTGGATACAATTAACTTAGGCTTGAATAAAGACTGGGAGTGGATGTGTCATTACACAAAGTAAAGCTATTTCCCCATGTTTATTTTCTCTCCCCCCCCCCCCCCCGCACTATTCCTCACATGTTCTTGTCAACTGCTGGAAATGGCCCACCTTAATTATCACTACAAAAGGTCCCCCCCAATCGCTCTCCTGCTGGTAATAGCTCACCTTACCTGATCACTCTTCTTACGATGTGTATGGTAACACCCATTGTTTCATGTTCTCTGTGTATATAAAATCTCCCCACTGTATTTTCCACTGCATGCATCTAATGAAGTGAGCTGTAGCTCACGAAAGCTCACGCTCAAATAAATGTGTTAGTCTCGAAGGTGCCACAAGTCCTCCTTTTCTTTTAAGGTCAGAGTTAGGCTCTGTCTACACGACACACCCTGGTGGCACCGTGTAGCATACGGCTAGCCAGACACTGCAGTGAGAAAGTACACCGCATCCACACTGGTGTGCAGCTCCATATGTGAGCGAAAGGCTCCAGCAGCGGGGAAACCTTTCCCCGCTGCTGGAGGAGTCTTTCCCTGCAGGAGGGAGAGCGCTCCAGCACTGGGGAGCTATCGGAGCCTTTCCCCCATGCCAGCATCTTTCCCCACGGTGGGGAAGGGCCCCCGGAGAGGCATGCAGCATTCAGACATGCGTAGGCCTCCTCTCATGGGTATAAATAGCAGTGTAGACGGTGAGTAGAGAACCATGTGCGGTATGTACTCAGAGCGGTATGGCTGTACTGATCAAAACTGTGCCTCACTGTCTCCTCTGCTATCTGTACCTGTGGTAGGGGAGCTGTGTGTGTACACTCCATGCCGCTGAAAGAAGGGTGCAGTGTAGACACACCCTTGGGGGGCTGAGCTGTGAGTGAGAAGGCTGGATGGCACCTAGAGACTTTGTGCCTGAGCTCTCCATGATGCCATTAGTCGCACTTCATACAAGTAAATGATGGTAAATTTGGCACTTCAGAATGCTGTCCCCAGTCCAACGCCAAAAGTGCTTTGCATACCCTCTGCAGCTGGGAGTCAACCCGCCACATCCGCAGCGTCTGGTCACGAGACCACGTGACCAGCTGGTAGTCCTTGGAGCCTAAAAGAAGAGAAAATAATTTCTAGAAGTAACAGAAAACAGACTTGACTCTATTTATGATATAAGTGGACTGAACCAAGTAGCTAGGTCCAGTAGATGGGACACTGGAGTGGGAGTCAGGACTCCTGGGTTCTATTCCTGCCTTTGATATTGTCCAAGGTCACATAGCAAGTCAAGTCACTGTTCCACTCTGTGCCTCAGTTTCCCCATCTGTAAAATGGGGATGGGGCTGCTGCTGGAGTTACAGAGGAGAAAACTGCAATGCAAATAAAAATACATTTTGCAGTGAAAGTTATCACATGGGAAATGAATCGGATCTACTAGGAGGCACTTATTTTTAAAGCATCACATTGTTGTGTAGCTGAAAATCCAAGTAATAGCTCAGTAGTTTGAGCATCGGCCTGCTAAACCCAGGGTTGTGAGTTCAATCCTTGAGGGGGCCATTTAGGGATCTGGGGCAAAAATTGGGGATTGGTCCTGCTTTGAGTAGGGGGTTGGACTAGATGACCTCCTGAGGTCCCTTCTAATCCTGATATTCTATGATTCTAAGTAACAATGTAAAAGTGAATTGCAAAGCAGAAAAAAAAAAAGGGTTTCTCCTGTAACATCTCCTTTAGGATGCAGAGAGCACAACAGGTTTTCTACATTTGGAATATCAAATTCTGGCTCCCCGCCGCCTTCCCCCCTCCCCCCAAGGATTTTGGGAATCTCTGGAGGACCTGAAGCTGTAATGCTGCAGAGATCCCAGCCCTCAATTGGCTGACACAAACATACGAGCAGCTGCCCTACACACAGCATGGATTTCACTTAAACTGGTGTAACTTTGTGTGTGGATGTGCTTCAATAGGTTTAAAACTGGCTTGCGCTGGTTTAGCTTGTTCCTGTAAATTTACCAATGCAATTAAACTGAGACAGACCAGGTTTAAACCTACATAAGAGTGTCCACACACTAAGATCCCCCAGTTTAACTAAATCAGTTTAAACAACACCTTTAGTTAAGCCAGGACAACTTTGTCTGGAGCACCAGCCTCTGTGAAGGTATGAGGGCATACAGACGCAGTAAGAGGTTATAATAATCAAACGTATAACACCCCCCCCCCCTTGCATAGCTCTTTTCAGTAGATCTCCAAGTGTGTTACCAAGGAGGTCAGTGTCATTATCCAAATTGTACAGAAAGGGAAACCGAGGCACAGAGAGGGAGGTGACTTGCCCAGCAGGCCAGTGGCAGAGCTAGGGATAAGAACCCAGATTTCCTGAGTCCCAGCCCAGTATTCTAGTCACTAGGCTACACTGCTTACTGGTTAGCACGTATGTTCAACGGGAAGAGAACAGCCAAACACCCATCGCTCTGAGCAAAACCAAAGGAAGAAGTTTCCTAAGTGCCATTACAAAAATTCCATTAAATGATTGGGAGGGGGGCCTGGGGACCTGTTCTGGAGAAGAAATTGGTCCTGGTTAAATCTGTGTAGATAGGTGTTTGCACCAGTGCTGCCAGTCTCACTACCAAGCAGCGCAGATGAAATGGTGGTGACAGATATAAAGTCCATGCCCTGTACCCAAAGAGGGCAGAGGTACCATAAGACCCTTGTGTAAACCAAGGACCAGGGGCCTGTGGTTACAGCAAGAGAGGAGGTCCCAGCACTGGAGCTGTGCAGGTTAAAGCCATGTGTGTGCCCTCATTGATCTGTTTGGTTATCTGACCTTTTTGTGGGGTTTTCTTTTATATTTGAAAATGACTGACTAGGGCAGGGGTGGGCAAACTTTATGGCCCAAGGGCCACATCGCAGTTGCGAAACGGTATGGAGGGCTGGGTAGGGAAGGCTGTGCCTCCCCAAACAGCCTGGCCCCCGCCCCTTATCTACCCGCTCCCACTTCTCGCTCCCTGACGGCCTCCCTCAGAGCCCCCAACCCATCCAACCCCCCCTGCTCCTTGTCCCTTGACTGCTCCCTCATGGGACCCCACCCACACCTGACCGTCCCCAGGGACCTCACCCCATATCCAACCCCCCCTGCCCCCTTCCCCTGACTGCCCTGATCCCTATCCACACCCCCAGCCCCTGACAGGCCTCCCCAGACTACCATGCCTATCAACCCCCCTGTTCCCCATCCCCAACCGCCCCCATCCCCAAACCTCCACCCCATCCAACCACGCCCTGTCCCCTGCCCGCCCCCCCCAACCTCTTTCCCATCCAACCACCCCCTGCTCTCTGTCCCCTGACTGCCTCCCAGGACCCCCTGCCCCTTATCCAACCCTCCGCTCCACGCCCCCTTACCATGCCGCTCAGAGTGGCAGGACTGGCTTATTGGAAAGCCTGGGAGGTGGGTGGGCGCAAGCCACGCTGCCCACTTGGCGGCGCAAAAGGGGGGGACAGCAGGGGAGAGACCTGGGGCTAGCTTCCTCGGCTGGGAGCTCAGAGGCCGGGCAGGAAGGTCCCATGGGCCATAGTTTGCCCAACTCTGGACTAGGGTCTGAAAACTGGCAGGAGGGTTCCTTTCCCCAGGCTCCACCTCCTTTGGCTGGTGTATTGAGTACATGGATGCTACTGAAAATGCAGCTTTTATTGCATGGGATGCTCCTGATATTTGTGGCTTGCTTTTTCCTTGCAATAAACGGTGAAGCTCAGAGGGGTTCACTCAGTTTTGAATTTTTTCCTTCGCTTTATGCAAGAATCTTATTGTTGTACAATTTATTCTGAAAAATCCATTTAAAAACAGACTGACGGGATAGTGGGAAATGAAAGAGTCACTGTTGATACTCGTATCGATTGGCTCTGTTCGCCTGGGAATAGTTTGCGTGGCCTCGTGCAATGGGACACGTTCCAATAAACTACGCTCTGTGGGGATTGGAAAGCAGATAGAGGCTAGTTCAAGTCGTGGCAAGAGCAGAAAGGCAATTGCTTGAGTATGGCAGCCGCAAGGCAGACTCCAGCTGCTGCCGTGCACCAACGGCAGTTGCATGAGAACAGCAGTCACAGTCCTGTGCCCACCTTCTTTCTGCTTTCTCCACTGGAACTCCAGCACCACATCGTCGTGTCCCACGAAGGTGTGAACTGGCGTGTTCAGGTCAAAAGTGTTCCAAAGGAGGAGGCTGTTCTCTCGCCGCAGCTGGGGAACCATCACGGTCACCAGCCCGTTGCTGAAAGGCTGGGGGAGAGAAGCACACCCAGAGAGGGGCTGCTCAGCTGCACAACAGTTAGCCTGGCAGCTCTCACTCCCCCATATTGCCTCGATCGTACTTTCCAACACCTTCCCATTCACACTGGCACCAGGGCACATCCTGGCACTGCCACCAGCTGACTTCAGGGAGGATTGTAGGGGCTCAGGAGCCAACCCTACAAGGAGGAGCTTTCAAAGGGGATTACCATGCAAGAGGACTCAACATGCCCTGAAAGGAGAGGGGTGCACTGCGCTCGAAAGAGGCATTCACCACAGCTCATTTAAAACCAGCCATTTCCTTCTGCTTATTACTAACCCCACCTAGCAACAGCGATTTTAACACTCCCTCTTCACCCACCATTCCTGCTGCTCTTTGCACAGGCCGAGCCAAACAGCAATCATTCTTTGGGTCTCACGCACTAGCAATTGTTTGGGGTCCTGACCCTGAAATGGAACACTAAACTACAAGTATGTATTGTGCATACACACCAGGCATGGTACAGGGCCGGAGGGAGGGAGAGGTGAGGAAAGGCTCATTCTGGTGTCTGGGGAAGATGGTGAGTACAAGCTAATGCTGAACGGCTAGGTGTCAAAGGCTATGTGCAAAAACCCCTCTGCGGCAACAAGTCTCAGAGCGCGGGTCAACTGACGTGGGTTTGCGCTACTGGGCTAACAGTGGCAGCGTAAACATTTCTGCTCAGGCTGGAGTCCAGACTCCAAGACCTCCTCCCTCGCTGGGTCTGAGCCTGGGCTCCAGCCCAAGTGGGAGCTTCTATGCAGCTATGTTTAGCCCCCACAGTGAGCCCGAGTCAGTTGACCTGGGCTCTGTGACTCACTACAGTGATTTTTATGTTTTGAATGTAGATATAGCCAAAGCTGAGGAACAACTTGTGCTTTAAATGCCTTGGACCTCACACCACAAAGACAGCAAGTTAGTGCATTCTTAGCTACACAAAAACCGTGACGGCCCATTAAAATACATGGGCATGGTTAAAAAGCCCTCACAGAAGAGATTCAAGAGATAAAATCTCTGAGCAGAAACTGTGAAAGAGGCATGGCTAGGCTGCTACAGTGCCGCTCTTAGTGCGTTGTCTCCACCAGTGCAATGTAAGTCAGTGACAGAGCGGACAGAGGGTATAAGGAACTGCTGAACCAAAGCTGCAGTCCTTCTTTAGGACTTAGACACCAGCTGCAAGCCCCATGTATGCGAGTCTCTGTTACAGTCCTCTGGGAAAGATCCAAGTTTCACATTATTAGGCACCCCCTCCCATGAGCCTGGTTCTCACGGAAGATGCTCTCACACTCGTACTGATCAGTGCTGTAACTGAGGTTTTTAACTCAGATTAATAAAAGCCAGTGGCAAAAACAGTGCTAATGATTCCCAGGGAGGAATGCCTCACTAGGTAATTTCCCTTGGCCATCCCAGGCTCTAGCAAGGCTATGGGGCAGAGGGACCGGTGTTCACACTCACCGTGTATCTCGCCTTCCAGACTGGAACCTGGCAGGGGAGGATATTGAGATATTTCCGAGGCTGACGGTAATCCCAGAACTTCAACAGAACAGAAAACAAGCCAGTGAGCTTCGCTCTCAGGGGTGGTGGGGGGGGGGGGGGGGGGATATTTCTGTGTAAGACGTGTGCCAGACATGCGACAGGTGCTCCACAGTGTCGTTAGAGACATCCTTGCACTAATGGAGCTGAACTGGCCCCAAGGGGGGGCTATCAGCCTCAGACACAGTGACTCGGGGTGACAGGTGTGCACTGACCAACACAAGACTTGCTGTAGAGGGTGATGTCTAATACCAGATCTAGTTCCCACTGAAGTCAATGGACAGATGCCCAGTGATTTCAGTGGGAGCTGGGTCAGGCCCTTAGGATGGCACTGGTACATTCCCTCTGAGAGATCTGGGCACTTACCCTGACAGAGTTGTCCTGGCTGGAAGTGGCCAGGATGTACTCGTTGTCCGGATGCCAGTCCAGGCCATGGATTTTAGAGAGATGCGCTGCCAAGTACTCCACTGCAGTGCTGGGTTTCTGCAATCAGAGGCATTTTAGTTCTCACCATGCTGGTTCTTAGGAGCAAGAAATCTGGCCCGATCCTGCCAGGTAAAGAAGGCGCTTCTCCACCCTCACACTCAGTAGACGTCACCAGCCAGAGAGAAAGATAAACAATGGCTTGTAGGCTAGAGAAAAGTTACTGTGAAGTACAGTGGTAAAGTTCCATAGGAGTTAAATACAACAGTGCACTGGGTAAGGGGGCGCTTTATATTTGATGCAACTAGTATCCATCAAGAAGCCAAAAGCAAGGTGCTAAGGGGTATGTTTTCAGAGAGAGGGAGGCCAATGATACAGCTGGGGGAGGGATAGCTCAGTGGTTTGAGCATTGGCCTGCTAAACCCAGGGTTGTGAGTTCAATCCTTGAGGGGGCCATTTAGGGATCTGGGGCAAAAATTGGGGATTGGTCCTGCTTTGAGCAGGGGGTTGGACTAGATGACCTCCTGAGGTCCCTTCCAACCCTGATATTCTATGATTCTATGAGCTCTCCTTCAATCTCAGACTCCATTGGCACCGCGCTTACCTCAAACTGATCGTTCAGAGGGGTGGGAAATGAAGGAAGGAAGGAAGGAAGAAGCAGTGTAGGACTGGCATGGTGCCTTGATCCCACATGTGGGAACATGCAGAGGCTACTCAAAGACTAACAGGAGCTCACCCGCTTATCCCAGATACGGACATCCCCATCGTGGCTGGTTGCTAAACAGCTGGCGTTTTTCTTGTTCCATTTGACCTGGGAGGCTCCAGCTGCAGAAGAAGCAGAGCAGAAAAAGGTCAGCGAACAGCATCTACAAATAGCTTAAAAGTGAGGTGGGCCAATGAGACATGAAGCAGATGCAAAATGTAGGGCGGCCCCACAGCATTTCAGACCACTTGTGTTCTGCACAGGACATACAACTAAGAAGAGATACATCCCAGGAGCGAGTGTGAAAGACCGTGGCAAAACATTTCATGGGAATGCAGCAGCAAAGTTAAAGAGCAGCTGTCCTTCAGAAAGAGGTTAACCCCAGTTTTGGGGGGCTTCATGCATGTCTCTCAAGGAGCTCAGATCCAATGTGGTCCATTTACAAGTCAAAAGATGTTTTTCTGAACCTCCAGCCACTTTCAGCTCATCACAGGGAGCAACTGCCTCTGTGGGGGAGCTACAAGCTCTGCATCTCTCACCACTTTAGCACCAACCCTCTCCCTCTGTCTGCTCCCTGGTGCCCTCTGATTAACTCAGCCCCCTTACTCTCACATGCACCAGTAATGCACTATAGAGATTTTAACACTACTCACCTATCACTAACATCCAGGACTTTAATCTTGCTGAGGTTGGAGTGAAGGCTGAGCATAGGCATGTGACTGAGGCGCTAGATGTGTGCGCTGCAAGTGGTTCATTGTTGGAAGTGAAGGGGAGTTCATCATGGAGGTGGGGAATCCAAGGGTATTTGGGTGTCAGGAGACGAGCTAAGGTTGTGGTGGATGTTCGTGCTGGCCTATCTAGAGAACTCTTGGATTGTTAGAGACTGACAGGAAATGCACTTCAGAAGCCTTGACTCTAAAATTTGTCGGATCCTCAGAGACGCCAAGGTTCAAGATAAGTTTTGGGACTCTACCGTCTCCAAGGTAATGGCAGGTCAGAGACAATGCATTTTGCTAAGGGATAGGAACAACCGATGCAGTGTACGGATCTATGTTTCTCAGCTCCATCAGTACTTAGGAACTCAGTCAGCTGCAAAGCCTGCTGCTCAGCAAATGTTCACAGACACAGAGGATGTGTCGGATCTAGGAAGAAAGCTATTGCAGCAGACACACACAGCTCTGCTGTGTCAGGGCTCTGGCATACAAGGCCTATGCTTGATGGATGAAAATGGTTTGCTCGCCTCAAATCATAAGAGACATAAAAAATAACGGTCAAACAAGATGGTAACTAGACTAAGGGACAGATCTTTCCTTCTGTAGCCGACCTCCCTGTCTCCACATATAAATATATGGCTCTCTTGAGATCTGGCCAAAAATAGGGGACCACCACTTAAGCAGACTTTTTTTTTAGAACATAAGAACGGCCATACTGGGTCAGACCAATGGTCCGTCTAGCCCAGTACCCTGTCTTCTGACAGTGGCCAGTGCCAGATACTTCAGAGGGAATGAGCAGAAGGACAATTATCAAGTGATGCATTCCCTGTTGTCCAGTCCCAGCACCTGGCAGTCAGAGGCTTATGGACATCCAGAGCCTGTCTAACAGCCATTGATAGACCTATCCTCCACAAACTCATCTACTTCTTTTTAGAATTTACTTATACTTTTGACCTTCACAACATCCCCTGGCAACAAGTTCCACAGATTGACTATGTGTTGTCTGGAGAAGTACTTCTTGTTTGTTTTAAACCTGCTGCTTATTCATTTCATTAGGTGACCCCTGGCTCTTGTGTGATGAGAAGGGGTAAATGACATCCCTGCTCATGCTCTCCCCACCCGTCATGGTTTGATAGACCTCGATCCTCTCCCCCCGTAGTCGCCTCTTCTCCAAACTGAACGGTCCCAGGCTTTCTAACTTCGCCTCATGTGGAAGCTGTTCCATCCCCCCCCCATCACGTGTGTTGCCCTTTTCTGTACCTTTTCCAATTCTAATCTACCTTTTTTCAGATGGGGCAACCAGAACTGTACACATATTCAAGGTGTGGGTGTACTACGGCTTTATATAGTGGCATTTTTTAAAAGATGTAGTGCCCATCTTTACAGAAGGGAAGGAGGAGGATCCTGGGAACTACGGGCCAGTCAGCCTCACCTCAGTCCCTGGAAAAATCATGGAGCAGGTCCTCAAGGAATCAATTCTGAAGCACTTAGAGGAGAGGAAAGTGATCAGGAACAGTCAGCATGGATTCACCAAGGACAAGTCATGCCTGACTAATCTAATTGCCTTCTATGACGAGATAAGTGGCTCTGTGGATGAGGGGAAAGCGGTGGACGTGTTGTTCCTTGACTTTAGCAAAGCTTTTGACACGGTCTCCCACAGTATTCTTGCCAGCAAGTTCAAGAAGTATGGGCTGGATGAATGGACTCTAAGGTGGATAGAAAGCTGGCTAGATTGTCGGGCTCAACGGGTAGTGATCAATGGCTCCATGTCTAGTTGGCAGCCGGTATCAAGGTGGAGTGCCCCAAGGGTCGATCCTCAGGCCGGTTTTGTTCAATATCTTCATAAATGATCTGGAGGAGGGTGTGGATTGCACCCTCAGCAAGTTTGCAGATGACACTAAAGTGGGAGGAGAGGTAGATACACTGGAGGGTAGGGATAGGATACAGAGGGACCTAGACAAATTAGAGGATTGAGCCAAAAGAAATCTGATGAGGTTCAACAAGGACAAGTGCAGAGTCCTGCACTTAGGATGGAAGAATGCCATGCACCGCTACAGACTAGGGATCGAATGGCTTGGCAGCAGTTCTGTAGAAAAGGACCTAGGGGTTACAGTGGATGAGAAGCTGGATATGAGTCAACAGTGTGCCCTTGTTGCCAAGAAGACCAACGGCATTTTGGGATGTATAAGTAGGGGCACTGCCAGCAGATCGAGGGACGTGATCATTTCCCTCTATTCGATATTGGTGAGGCCTCATCTGGAGTACTGTGTCCAGTTTTGGGCCCCACACTACAAGAAGGATGTGGAAAAATTGAAGAGAGAGTCCAGCGGAGGGCAACAAAAATGATGAGGGGACTGGAACACATGACTTATGAGAACAGGCTGAGGGAACTGGGATTGTTTAGTCTGCGGAAGAGAAGAATGAGGGGGGATTTGATAGCTGCTTTCAACTATCTGAAAGGGGGTTCCAAAGAGGATGGATCTAGACTGTTCTCAGTGGGAGCGGATGACAGAACAAGGAGTAATGGTCTCAAGTTGCAGTGGGGAGGTTGAGGTTGGATATTAGGAAAAAGTTTTTCACTAGGAGGGTGGTGAAACACTGGAATGCGTTACCTAGGGAGGTGGTGGAATCTCCTTCCTTAGATATTTTTAAGGTCAGGCTTGACAAAGCCCTGGCTGGGATGATTTAGTTGGGGATTGGTCCTGCTTTGAGCAGGGGGTTGGACTAGATGACCTCCTGAGGTCCCTTCCAACCCTGATATTCTACGATTATGATATTTTCCATCTTATTATTTATCCCTTTCCTAATGGTTCCTAACATTCCGTTCGCTTTTTTGGCTGCCGCTGCACAGTGAGTGGCTGTTTCAGAGAACTATCCATAATGACGCCAAGATCTCTTTCCTGAGTGGGAACAGCTCATTCAGACCCTATCATTTTGTACGTATAGCTGGGATTATGTTTTCCAACGTGCCTCACTTTGCACAATCTCCCTTCTGCTTCCCAGTTTCTAATAGAAAAATGAGCTTACATTGATATGGAAGGTTCAGATGTTACGGGAGTTATATAAAGCTACCTGAGGTTCTCTTCTCCCTTTTTTAGTTTGAAACTCCTTTCAAAAGGATTCAAAAACAACCCGGCAAACTTCTGCCGTCCAGCTCTCAAACAGAGACATAAAACAAGAGGCTGCTGTGGGTCAAGAGGTCCTCTGCATTTCTGTAGCATTGCGAATTCATGGCCTGTGAGTAAGGCTGCTGCTGGTACAGACCCTAAAGGGCTGTTAACAAGGCAGATTCTCTCTCTCTCATACACAAGGAGATTAGTGAGGTAGAAGAAACAGCAACCCATAAGGACACTTTCACGTTGGCTCATCTGTGCTCTATCTTCCTCCGTCTCCATTCTAATGTTCTCCATGTGCAGTAACTCATTCACAGAACCTATTAGGTCTTCCCTTAAGGATGATGGGTGGAGATTAACACTGTTGGGGTCTCTGACAAGAGCCTGTCCAGCCAAGGTAGTGTTAGCTGATTGCCTTGACGAGAGCGTGACGTGTAACCCAAAGGAGGACACCTGTGGCATCCTTTCAGATCCCCAGCTGGTTTAAGGTGCTGCAGGGAAGCATGATATTGCATGTTAATGTACCCAGCCCAGAACCCCTCTCTCAGTAACTGGACGGAGGGTGGAAAGTCAGCAGCACTCCAGTGACACCTAAACCAGAGTGGATCCAGACTGCTGGCATTTCACATTAAAAAGGTTGCTGAGCAGTTTTTAAACTAAGAGATTGTGGGGAGGCGGGGGGAAGCCGATTGCTGCAGAGGCGCACATGGATCGGACAGAGACGTCTCTTAGAGGAGAGTCTATTGAGAGAGATTCTCTAGGTTTTAGTCAGGAGGAGAGGATGGAAGAGGATAAAGTATGGGCTAGATCAGATGAGAAACATTCACAAAGAATCTGACACATCAGAGAACGGCAGACAAATAAACAGTGACAAGTTTTTAAAGTGCTTGTACACAAATGCTAGAAGTCTAAGTAATAAGATGGGTGAACTAGAGTACCTCGTGTTAAAGGAGGATATTGATATAATAAGAAAAGGAGGACTTGTGGCACCTTAGAGACTAACAAATTTGTTTGAGCATAAGCTTTCGTGAGCTACAGCTCACTTCATCGGATGCAGCTCATGAAAGCGTATGCTCAAATAAATTTGTTAGTCTCTAAGGTGCCACAAGTACTCCTGTTCTTTTTGCGGATACAGACTAACATGGCTGCTACTCTGAAAATTGATATAATAGGCATCACAGAAACCTGGTGGAGTGAGAACAAGCAATGGGACACAATCATTCCAGGGTAAAAAATATATCGGAAGGATAGAACAGGTTGTGCAGGGGAGTGGGGGTGGGGGTGCACTCTATGTGA